GGCGGTACAACCGCTCGTCCTGCGGGCAACAGCCAGAGGTCAGGGGGCAACAGCCAGAGGTCAGGGGGCAACAGCCAGAGGTCAGGGGGCAACAGCCAGAGGTCAGGGGGGCAACAGCCAGAGGTCAGGGGGGCAACAGCCAGAGGTCAGGGGGGCAACAGCCAGAGGTCAGGGGGACAACAGACAGAATCAGGGGGACAACAGCCAGAGGTCAAGGTTAACAGTAGAGGTCAGGGGTCAGGGAGCAACAGCCAGCGGGCAGAGCAGCAACAGTTGGAGCAGGGCAGTGAGGCAGGGTTCAGGGTGTGGAGCGTGGGGATAAGCAATGATATTTAACCCCTCCCTCAGTCCCCACCCACCCCCCACCCCCGGCCCTCACTCACGTTGAGGATCTGGAAGAGTTTGCGTTTCTTGGCTGGTTCCTCCACCCACAGGACCAGTTGACGGAGGCTGGGGCTGGGCTGTCGCTCCTCGCCCACCGCGATGCGGACAGGGTCCCTGAGCAGCTGCCCTGCCAGCCCCCCAGGCCCCCCGGGCAGCGTGGCCGACACCAGCACCCGCTGGCACTCCTCCCCCGGCTCCTCCAGCAACTCCAGCACCTGCTCCTGGAACCCCAACTTCAACATGGTGTCCACCTGCCAACAACAACAACAACTTGTATAGACAGTGCTCCTTCCACACAGGGTGGTTTCTCAGACCACAGCACAGACAGTAACAATAACAATGATAATAATAATAATCCGGGCGTTTGTCCCGGCGACTGATTACGTCATCGAGACGTCTCAAAGCGCTTCACAGGATACACTGCAAAGTGCAGTGATGGTGTGTTTTGTGGGCAAAAAACGGCAGCCAATTTGCACCCAGCAACGTCCCCACAAACAGACGTGGGTTGAGCGTCCCATTTTATCTGGGGGATTGTCGGCCAGAACACTGGGGGCAGAGAGAGAGAAACTCCCCTCTCTTTTCCCTCAACGCTGAGAGAGATCTTGAACGGAGAGTGAGGTTCAACGTCTCATCTGAAGGACGGCAAGAATCCCCCCCAGAATCCCCCCCCCACCAGCACTGCAATGGAGCATCAGCTTAGACTGTGTGACTCCAAGGCCCGATGTGGGGGCTTAAACCCACAATCTTCTGATTCAGAAGTGAGAGTGCGACTCACTGAGCCAGGCTGACCCACACACCCACACACGCTGGGAGGGCCCGTCTCACGGTTCTAAACACTGCGGACACCTGAGCAGGGGGACGGGGAGCCAGTGGAGCCGGGTGTAGGTGATGGCCTGGTGCGGGAGAGGACATGAGCTGCAGAGTAGGGAAGAGTTGGGAAGGCTGACAAGCAGGGAGGGAGTTAGAGTCGAGTCTGGAGATGATAAAGGGTGGATGAGGGTCTCGGCAGAGTGAGGGGAGAGGCAGTGACGGAGGTGGGCAATGTTATGTCGAGTGAGTCAGAGAGAGAAACACAGAGATAGAGACTTGGAGTGAGACAAACAGAGAGACACACACAACACAAACACATACACACAAGTCGGAGAAAGAGGAAAGAATAATAATCGTTGCATTTGATATAGCGCTTTTCACGTCGGGAGGACGTCCCAAAGACTTCACAGAACACACTGTAAAGTGAATTGACTGTATATTTGTGGGCGAACGCGGCAGCCAATTGCGCACAGCAATGTCCCACAAACAGTCATAGATTGAAAATGACCAATTTATTATTGTTTTGGTTTTGGAGGGATTATTATTAGGCTCTGTGTGGAGTAAGGAAACTTGCCCAAGGTTTCGCCCTCTGCCTGGGATTGAACTCAGGTCTCTCACTTGCAAAGCGAGTGCTCTAACCACTGAGCTATAGGACTCCACATGCGATATTCATGACATTTCATCCCTATAACCGTAAGGTGTACGTGTGTGTTTGCTGGGGATTGACCCCTGACCTGCTGGGATGGGGATTGCGACCTCTGACACCTACCTCGTCGATGACCAGGGTGTGGAGGCCGGTCAGGCTGATCGCTTCCTGCTTCAGGATTTCCAGCAGCCGCCCTGGGGTAGCGATCACCAGCTGTGGGTGAGCAGCGGCCGATAATATAATAATAATAATCTCGTGTTTCATACAGCGCCTCATCAGGCTTTCGAGTCGTCCCAAAAGCGCTTCACAGGATACGTGTAGTGACTGTGTTTGTGGGCGAAATGTGGCAGCCAATTGCGCCCAGCGACGTCCCCACGTGGGTTCAGGTGACCAAATTATTTCTGTCTGTCTGTGGCGAGGATGTCCCTGCCCATCAGGCCCTGGGGAACCATCTGCATTTCTGTCTGGTGGGGCCTACAGCACGACAGACAGACTCACAGTGTGTGGTATCAGGGAGGTGAGAGCCAGGGGATTAGCAGGGGAAGGGGTCAGAGGGGAGAGGGTTGGGGTCAGGACCTACCTTGATGCTCTGGCTGAGCCTGTGGAGCTGTGGGGGGAGGGGCAGGCCGCCCACCAGCAGCGCAGTCCTCATGTTGGGCAGCCCCAGCATCAGCTCCTTGGCCTGGCTCTCGATCTGCATTGCCAGCTCCCGGGTGGGGGTCAGGATCAAGCCCACCGGCCCAGGCCCCCCCTGCAGGGGGAAGAGAGCAAAGGTTAGAGGCCAGGGGCAGAGCCCATTAAAAAGGGCGTCAGCCGCCATCTCACACACACTTACACTCACACTTACACACTCTTACTCACTCTCACACCAACTTTCAAAGCAGAAAACGGTGCACTCACTTCACAGAGATAATAATCCTGGCATTTGATACGGCGCCTTATCAGGTCGTCAAGATGTCTCAAAGCGCTTTCACTGTAGTGACTGTGTGTTCTGTGGGTGAAGTGAGAAGCCAGAGACGTCACACAAACAGCCATGGGGGGATTGTCGGCCAGAGAGAGAGAGAGACTCCCATCTCCTCCCCCAGCGCTGCGGGAGATCTCTAACGTCCCCCTGAACAGCGCACAGACGGGGAGTGAGGTTTAATGTCTCATCAGAAGGGACAACGTCTCTGACAATGCAACGCTCTCTCTCTCTCTCTCCCCACAGCGCTGCGCTGGAGTGTCAGCCTAGACTGTGAGCTCGGAGAACCCGATGTGGGACTCGAAACCACAACCTCAGGAGACGAAAGAGCGACTGATAATATTAATAATCTTTGTGGGGGGGGTTGATGATGAAGATTATGATGATGATGAAGATGGCTGACCTGTTTGATAGCTCTGGTGATGAGGGGCAGCAGGAAGGCGGCTGTCTTGCCGGAGCCGGTGCCAGCCGTGGCGAGGATGTCTCTGCCCGTCAGGCCCTGGGGAACCATCTGCATCTGTACGGGGGTGGGCACCAGGTAGCCCCCCCGCCTCATGTTGGTGGTTAAGGTCTCGGGGAAGCTGCAATGTTCGAACTCCACAATGGGCCTGACCGGGCGGCCCTCAGCCACGATCCCCAGCTGTGAGCGGAGATTCCGGACTTGGGCGTCGGACAGGCCGGCGATGAAGGGGTGTTCCCGATACTCGTACTCTCCCTCCGTGCCTTCCCTGCCCTCGCCTGGGCCCCCCACCTCGCCCACTCCCCCCGCCCCGCACACAGCCAGGTGCCGTGTTTTACACTCCAGGCTGCACACATCGCTGTCTGTCTGGTCACAGATGTACTCCCCATAGCGTCCGCACATCACACAGGCCGGCTCGCCCGGCTCCGCCCAGCGCTGGCTCTCACTGCGCTCCTTCACCATCTCCTCCTCTTCCTCCCCCGCCCCACACCCTCCAAACCCCTGCTCGGTGGAGCGGAGGGAGGGGGCCACAGCTGGACTGTGCTGATCTTTGGGGCAGGAGAATTTGTTGGAAATCCCTTTACTTTTCTTGCAGACGCTCCCGTCGCTCTCGTCCGTCCGTTTCACCTTCAGGGACCGAGGCACAAACATGGCGCTGGTAAACAGACAGGAATAATATTAACAATGAGAATCATGTTACTCCTGGTACAGATCACAAAAAAAGCCCCGTCCAGCGCAAGGTTAATCCAATAATAATCCTCGTGTTCACCACAACATCTCAGTACACTTCCAAAGGAACCAGAATTATAACAATCTGCGTTTACACAGCGCAGCGTCTCAGAGGCTCGACAGTGGCGGAGACTGAGCACAGGGGAAGGATAGTGGATTGGGGAGTAAGCAGTCGGAGGGCGATAGGGAGGTGTCAGAGTGTGAATTGATTTGAACATAATAACAATAATAAATTGGTCATTTCAATTCACGGCTGTTTGTGGGACAGACGTCAGCGCTGCGGAGATCTCTAACGGCCCCCGAACAGCGCACAGACGGGGAGTGAGGTTTAACGTCTCATCAGAAGGGACAATGCGGCGCTCTCTCTCTCTCTCTCACTCTCTCTCACACTCTCTCTCTCTCACTCTCTCTCTCTCACTCTCTCTCTCTCTCACTCTCTCTCTCTCACTCTCACTCTCTCTCTCTCCCTCTCTCTCTCTCTCTCTAGTCTCTCCCCCCAGCGCTGCGCTGGAGCATCAGCCTGGACTGTGAGCTCAGAGACCTCTGGAGGGGGGCAGTGGGGGGGGGGGGGAGGGGGGGAGGGGGGGAGGGGGAGGGGGGAGGGGAGGGGGGGAGAGGGGGGGAGAGGAGAGGGGGGGGGGAGGGGAGAGGGGGGAGAGGGGGGGAGGGGAGAGGGGAGGGGGGGGGGAGGGGGGAGGGGGAGGGGGAGGCTGATGCTCACCGTGAGGAGCCCGGGGCGCGGGGACTGCCGGGAGCCGCAGTGGGAGGGCGGGGCCGGGGCCGCGGGGGCTGCCGGGAGCCGCAGTGGGAGGCGGGGCCGGGGCCGCGGGGGGCTGCCGGGAGCCGCAGTGGGAGGCGGGCGGGGCCGCGGGGGCTGCCGGGAGCCGCAGTGGGAGGCGGGGCCGGGGCCGCGGGGGCTGCCGGGACCGCGTGGGAGGCGGGGGCCGGGGCCGCGGGCTGCCGGGAGCCGCAGTGGGAGGCGGGCCGGGGCCGCGGGGGCTGCCGGGAGCCGCAGTGGGAGGCGGGCCGGGGCCGCGGGGGCTGCCGGGAGCCGCAGTGGGAGGCGGGGCCGGGGCCGCGGGGGCTGCCGGGAGCCGCAGTGGGAGGCGGGGCCGGGGCCGCGGGGGCTGCCGGGAGCCGCAGTGGGAGGCGGGGCCGGGGGCGGGGGCTGCCGGGAGCCGCAGTGGGAGGCGGGGCCGGGGCCGCGGGGGCATTCGCCCACAAAACACACAGTCACTACACTTTACAGTGTATCCCATGAAGCGCTTTGAGACGTCTCGAAGGCGCGATAAGGCGCTGCATCAAACGAAAGGATTATTATCTAGCATCTTATCGCATCTTCGAGACGTCTCAAAGCGCTTCACAGGATACACTGTAAAGTGTAGTAACTGTGAATTTGGTGGACAAAACATGGCAGCCAATTGCGCCTAGCGACGTCCCCACAAACAGCCGTCGAGTAAGTGGCCAATTTTATCTGGAGGATTGTCAGCCGGGACACCGGGAGAGAGAGAAACTCCCTTCCCTTTTCCCCCCACCCCCCGACAGTCCCGTGGGAGATCTTTAACGTCCACCTGAACCGGGCGCAGATGGGGGGGTGAGGTTTAACATCTCATCCGAAGGATGACATCTCTCTCCTCTCTCTCTCTTCCCCCAGAGCTGCACTGCAGACTGTGAGCTCAGATTCCCTGAGGTGGGATTTGAACCCACAGCCACAACTGAAAGAATGAGATTGTGAGTGATTGAGCCAAAGGCTGATACAAACAGCGTGGATTCATATTCACCAACATGGCAGAAAATCTGCTGGTGATACAGTATTTGTATCTTGAGCAGCTCATCCAGTGGCAGAGGAGATGGCAGATTTGCTCCAATCCCCCAGGGAGGGATGTTTGCTCCTCTCCCTGTCTGTGCCCTGTTCAGATGGACATTAAAGATCTCCCGGGGCGCTGTGGGGGGAAAAGAGAAGGGAGTTTCTCCCTCTCTCTCTCTCGCGCTCTCTCTCGGTGTCCTGGCCAACAACCCCCCAAATAAAATGTGGTCGCTGACGCCACCTGTTTGTGTGGGACACTACTGTGTCGTGGTTCGCCCACAAAATGCACAGTCACTACACGTATATTCTGTGAAGTGCTTTGAAACGTCGCAAGGCTCTGTATCAAATAATAATAATAATAATCCTTCCATTTGATATAGCGCTTTTCACGTCTTCTGGAAGTCTCAAAGCGCTTCACAGAATATGCTGTAAAGTGAATTGACCGTATATTTGTGGGCGAACGCGACAGCCAATTGTGCACAGCAATGTCCCACAAACAGCCGTGCGTTGAAAATGTCCAATTAGTTATTGTTTTTTTTTTCGGAGTGATTATTATTAGGTGTGTCGAGTAAGGAAACTTCTCCCTCTGCTGGGAATAGAACTCAGGTCCCTCGCTTGCAAGGCGAGTGCTCTAACCACTGAGCTACAGGACTCCACTGCAATGATTATTATCTAGAATTTATTATATTAATATATTATAGATTATTAATATTAAGATCCACTCACACTCGTGTTCAAATCCCTTCACTCCCTGGCACCTCCCTCCCGCTCCGACCTCCTCACTCCATTACCCGGTCAGCGCCTCCGCTCGACTGGCACCGGCTCCTGCTCGTCCCTCGCACCCTGCGCCCCACGATCAGAGGTTGTGCTTTCAGCCACTACGCCCTGAAACTCCACAACACTCTCCCTCGACCCCTCCGTCGTACCCCCCCCCCCCGTCCCCTCTTTCAAGTCTCGTCTGAAAACCTTCCTTTTCGACCGTGTTTACAGCCCCCCCCCCGCAACTCGGAAACGGGCTCCGCCACTGTTCAGCGCTCTGAGACGCTGCCCTCTGTGGGGGGGACTCTGCTGTTGCTGTAATATTATTATAGAGTATTAATATATTATTATAGATTATAATAGTTAACTAATAACTAACGGTGACACACGTCGGGAGGCCTTCCCAAGGCGCTGGACAGGGTGACACACAGACAGAGGGTGACACACACACACACACACACACACAGGGTACCACAGGGTGTCACAGTAAGAGACACACAGGGGCATAACATAACACAACATAGATTATTAGTAATACTATAGATTAGTATCGTTAATAGATTATTAATATTATTACAGGTTATTTAATAGATGATCATTATTATTATAGAGTATTGTAGATTAATAGATTATTAATAGAGAATAATATTATTAGTAATATCGCAGATTAATATTATTATCGATTATTAGTATTATTGTAAATTAACATTAGTATAGAGATGAGTATCAATATTATTAATAGATTATTATATTATAATGATTGGATACAGTATTAATGTATTTGCATTGATTATTATTACCGATTATTAGTATTATTATCGATTATTAGTATTATTATCGATTATTAGTATTATTATCGATTATTCTGCAGTAAGTTGAGGGCCAGTGAGAGGCCGTTGCCCGGGGCCGGGGGTGGGGGCTCGGGGTCGGGGTCGGGGCCGGGCCCGGGGGGGGGACCCCGGCCTGAAGGTAACCTTGAGCCGGGAGCCGCCTCCCCGCGCCCCGGGGCCGCGCCTCACGCGAGTCCGCGGCTTCCCTCGGGCCCAGCGCAGCCCTCACCTCATCATCGTCGTCGTCGATCTCCTCCTCGGGCTTCAGGGCCGCGCTCAGCTGCTGTCTCAGCTCGTCACCCCCCACCCCAGCCGGTACCGGTACCGCCGCCGCCATGCTCCCCGCCAGCCCGACCTGCCCCTGACACCGGCTCCCGCCCTCAGCCTCACTCCGCGGCCTCCGCGCACAGCGCCACCCGCTGACCGGAGGCCACACACTGCATAGCACCGCACAGCACAGCGCCACCCGCTGGTCGGAGGTCACACACTGCACAGCACCGACACACAGTGATAGAATAAAACACACTACACTTTACAGTGTATCCTGTGAAGCGCTTTGAGACGTCTCTCGAAGACTTCATGAGGCGCTTTATTAAATGCCAGAATTATTATTATTATTATTATTTCAGGTCAGGAGGACGTCCCAGAGCGCCGGACAGAGTCACACACAGACTGTGGGTACCACCCACACAGGTTACCAACAGTGACGCAGTGAGAGACAGAGGCGCATAAAAGAATAAAACAATACAAAATGACATTGGGATTGTGCCTTTCACGTCGGGAGGACATGAGGTATAAAGTAGAGGTCACCACACGCAAACAGCCCATTTTACAGTTGAATGTGAACAAGACTGAGGCCCTCCTGATTGGCTCACGGCAGCGCCTCTGCACCTCAGGCTCTGGCAGCATCACCCTCCACGGTTACACACTACAACTCACCAACTCACCGCCAGTCAGGAACCTCGGTGTCCTGTTCGACCCTCAACTGTCTTTTCTCCCACACATTCAAGCCATGACCCGCTCTGCCTTCCCTCACCTCCATAACATCGCCCGACTCCGCCACTACCTCACCCCTCAGGCGCTGAAACTCTTGTTCATGCCTTCATCACCTCCAGGCTCAACCAAGCAAACTCCCTGCTTGTCGGCCTTCCCAACTCCTCCCTCCACAGACTGCAGATAATCCAGAACTCTGCAGCCCATGTACTCTACCGCACCAAACTCCGTGACCCCATCTCCATTAGCTCCCTATCCTTCAGAGGATCCAGTTCAAGATCCTGGTCCTCATCTACAAAGCCCTCCATGGCCTCGCCCCACCCTACTCTGCGATCTCCTAACCCCCTACCACCCCGCCCGTTCCCTCCACTCAGCCAACTCTGGCCTGCTCCACGTCCCTCAACCCACCCGCCCACCATTGGCGGGAGAGCCTTCAGCCACTCTGCCCCCAACCTCTGGAACTCCATCTCCCAATCACTCCACCTCGCCCCCTCCTTAGCCTCCTTCAAGTCCCGCGTCAAAACCCTCCTCTTTGACCATGCCATTGGTCATCCCCCCTTCCCCTCCCCTCCCTTCCCCCCCCTCCTCCCCTCTGACCCCAGCTCGGTTCTGAAATGCTGTCACTGTCCAGTGCCTTGGGACGTCCTCCCGACATGAAAGGCTATATAAATGTAATCTTGTTGTTGTTTAGTCCATCCTCCACGAGCGCCTCACCCCTCTGCTCCCTGCGAGATGTTCACACATTGAATGATCTGAAAAAGACAGAGCTAATAAAATCATTTTGCTCTACCCTGGCCAGCCATTCCAACAATAATAACAATCCTTGCATTTGATAGAGCATCTTATCACATCGTTGAGAAGTCTCAAAGAGCTTCACGGGGTATACTGTAAAGTGCAGTGACTGTGTATTTTGTGGGCATAAAGTTCAGCTCACACCCCAGATGGGACTCGAACCCACAATCCCTGGCTTAGGAGGCCAGTGCCTTATCCATTAGGCCACTGGGGCCACATGGAGCTGATTGCTGTCCTGCTCTCTCTCTCTCTCTGACATTGGCAGCGGTGTCCTTTCCCTGTGAGCTCAGGCTTCATTGTCACCGTCACTGAGCAACAACCATTGTCACCGTCACTGAACAACGACCATTGTCACATGCCTCGGCCCGATTGTCCCTCACTTTACACCTTCAAAGCCCTCCATGGCCTCGCGCCTCCCTACCACTGTGACCTCCTAACCCCCAACCAACCTGTCCGCTCCCTCCGCTCAGCGGGCTCCGCTGAGCTCCTCTTGCTCCTTTTGGAACCAGTGCGCATTCCGTACGCATTCTGGAGTCCTGTAGCTCAGTGGTTAGAGCACTCGCTTTGCAAGTGAGAGACCTGAGTTCAATTCCAGGCAGAGGGCGAAACCTCGGGCAAGTTTCCTTACTCCACACAGAGCCTAATAATAATCCCTCCAAAACCAAAAACAATAATAAATTGGTCATTTTCAATCTACGACTGTTTGTGGGACATTGCTGTGCGCAATTGGCTGCCGCAGTCGCCCACAAATATACAGTCAATTCACTTTACAGTCTATTCTGTGAAGCGCTTTGGGACGTCCTCCGGACGTGAAAAGCGCTATATCAAATGCAAGGATTATTATTATTATTATTATTATTATTATTATTCCCGAAAAACCGCTCTTTCTGATCCAAAACTGTTGGCAACTCCATTTCCTATCAATGGAACCAACATTTAAGTATTTGCTTCTCTGGTCCACAGTTTCACCCTTGACCTGAGCTCACATAACAACTTGTATTTATATCACGCCCTTCACGGGTGGTGCCCATAAAATACAGTCAATTGACTGTGGAGACTTGTAGCTCAGTGGTTTGAAGCGCTCTGAGACACCGTCCGGTGTGGAGGGCGCTATATAAATCCAAGTTGTTGTTGTTGTTGTTGGTATAGACCTCCTCACCGAGCACACGAGAGGGCCTGGGTTTGATTCCTGGGCAGGGAGAAATGTTGGGCAAGTTTCCTTACTCCACACACGCACACGCACACACACACACACACACACGCACACGCACACACGTGCCTCAGTTTACCAGCAGGAAGTCGGGTTATTAGTCGATTGGCAGTTCGCTTTCTGGGGGTAATGATCCCTCAAAAACAATAATAATTTGGTCATTCAACCCACAACTTGTTTGTGGGACACCGCTGTGCGCAATTGGCTGCCGGGTTTCGCCCACAAATACACAGACCATTCAGACGTGATAAGGATCTGCATCAAATGCCAGGATTATAATTATTATTATTATTATTATTATTATTATTATTATTATTCAGTGAGACTCAATGAGTGATGCAGTACACAGCTCCCAAGCGCCCTCTGTTGGGTGTCCACGGAACTGCAGACCAATGAGGACACCTGTGGTTCAGACGCAGAACTGCAGCTCATTTGATAATAATTAATAACAATTAATAACGGGGGCGGAAGGATTATTATTATTAATATTATTCTTTTTATTTATTATTCTTTTTCCAGCGATTGGCTTCAGGTCAGACTGCGCTTTAATGCTCTCTTTAGTGCGTCATTTGCTGATTACTGAAGTGCTCTGAGACGCTGTGTGGTGTGGAGAGCGCTATAGAAATCCAAGTTGTTGTTGTTGTTATACTTTCAGTAGTTGGTCGTTAGACGTGAACGAGGACAAGTGTGAGTGTGTCAGCGGTGAGTGTGAGTCGGGGGGCAGTGTGAGTGTGAGCCGGGGTGGGGGGGGGGCAGTGTGAGTGTGAGCCGGGGGGGGGGGAGGCAGTGTGAGCGTGAGCCGGGGGGGGGGGGGGGGCAGTGTGAGCGTGAGCCGGGGGGGGGGGGGCAGTGTGAGTGTGAGCCGGGGGGGGGGGGGGGGTGGGGTGTAGTGACTGTGTGGGGGATGGGGTGTAGTGACTGTGTAGGGGTGGGGGGTGGGGTGTAGTGACTGTGTAGGGGTGGGGGTGTAGTGACTCTGTGGGGGTGGGGGGTGTAGTGACTGTGTAGGGGGTGGGGGGTGGGTGTAGTGACTGTGTAGGGGTGGGGGGGTGTAGTGACTGTGTAGGGAAGTTGGGGGGGTGGGTCGTAGTGACTGTGTGGGGGGTGTAGTGACTGTGTAGGGGTGGGGGGTGGGTGTATTGACCGTGTGGGGGGTGGGGTGTAGTGACTGTGTGGGTGTGTAGTGACTGTGTGGGGGGTGGGGTGTAGTGACTGTGTAGGGGGTGGGGTGTAGTGACTGTGGGGGGGGGGTGTAGTGAAGTGTGGGGGGTGGTGTAGTGACTGTGTGGAGGGGTGGGGTGTACTGACTGTGTGGGGGGGTGGGTGTAGTGATTGTGTGGGGGGTGGGGTGTAGTGACTGTGTGGAGGGGGGGTGTAGTGACTGTGTGGGGGGGTGGGGTGTAGTGACTGTGTGGGGGGGTGGAGTGTAGTGACTGTGTGGGGGGGTGGGGTGTAGTGACTGTGTGGGGGGTGGTGTGCGGCGGGTGGTGTAGTGACTGTGTGGGGGGTGGTGTGCGGGCGGTGTAGTGACTGTGTGGTGGCGGTGTAGTGACTGTGTGTGAGATGGATGTAGTGACTGTGTGGGGGGTGGGGTGTAGTGACTGTGTGGGGGTGTAGTGACTGTGTGAGATGGATGTAGTGACTGTGTGGGGGGTGGGGTGTAGTGACTGTGTGGGGGGGGTGGGGTGTAGTGACTGTGTGTGGGGGTGGGGTGTAGTGACTGTGTAGGGGGTGGGGTGTAGTGACTGTGTGGGGGTGGGGTGTAGTGACTGTGTGGGGGTGGGGTGTAGTGACTGTGTGGGGGGTGGGGTGTAGTGACTGTGTGGGGGGGTGGGGTGTAGTGACTGTGTGGGGTGTAGTGACTGTGTGTGAGATGGATGTAGTGACTGTGTGGGGGGTGGGGTGTAGTGACTGTGTGTGAGTGTAGTGACTGTGTGTGAGTGTAGTGACTGTGTGTGAGTGTAGTGACTGTGTGTGAGATGGATGTAGTGACTGTGTAGGGGTGTAGTGACTGTGTGTGAGATGGATGTAGTGACTGTGTGGGGGGTGGGGTGTAGTGACTGTGTGGGGTGTAGTGACTGTGTGTGAGATGGATGTAGTGACTGTGTAGGGGTGTAGTGACTGTGTGTGAGATGGATGTAGTGACTGTGTGGGGGGTGGGGTGTAGTGACTGTGTGGGGGGTGGGGTGTAGTGACTGTGTGTGAGATGGATGTAGTGACTGTGTAGGGGTGTAGTGACTGTGTGGGGTGTGGGGTGTAGTGACTGTGGGGTGTAGTGACTGTGGGGTGTAGTGACTGTGGGGTGTAGTGACTGTGGGTGTAGTGACTGTTACCTGGTTCGGGTGTAGTGACTGTGGGGTGTAGTGACTGTGTGGGGTGTAGTGACTGTGTGGGGTGTAGTGACTGTGTTTGGGGTGTAGTGACTGTGTGGGGTGTAGTGACTGTAGGGGTGGGGTATAGTGACTGTGTGGGGTGTAGTGACTGTGTGTGAGGTGTAGTGACTGTGTGTGAGGTGTAGTGACTGTGTGGGGTGTAGTGACTGTGTGGGGTGTAGTGACTGTGTGTGGGGTGTAGTGACTGTGTGGGGGGTAGTGACTGTGTGGGGTGTAGTGACTGTGTGGGGTGTAGTGACTGTGAGCCATGACATTAGTGCACAGGGGGTCGGGCAGTTCACGCTCTCTGGCATCCCGCAAAGTAGACGGGTCACCGCGAGGGGGACCTGTACCCGCACAAAAATTCCTCCCGCACTGTGGGGCGGGGACCCGGGCGTCACCCCGGACCGTTATTTTCCTTACTCATTAGTTTAAGGCATAAGGGGCGCTGTCCAGCGCTGCGGGAAAGCCACCGGGGCCCCACCTCTCAGTTACAGTGCCCTGGGTTTCCAACCTCACCCCTCCCCCCACACCCACACAGACTCCCCCCCCACACCCACACTCCCCCCCCCACCCCCCACACAGTCACTACACCTCCCCCCCCCACACCGGCTCATTAACAGTCAAAACTCCAGAGGAATTGGCTCCAGTGTTGGGCGGATTCATTCTGGCCCGAGGCATTCTGGGTGATGTAGTGCCTCTTTCCTTCTGCTCCGAAATAATACGAATACTAATCTTTGTATTTGGAGATCGCACTTCGTACGTCTTCTTCTCGACGTCTCAAAGCGCTTCACGCACACAATACGCTGTAAAGCGAATTGACTGTATATTTGTGTGCGCAGCAGCGTCTGTCCCCACAGACAGTCGTGGATCGAAATGTCCAAATTATTATTGTTTTTTTTTCGTGAGGGATTATTATCAGGTGTATTGATATCACTTTATTGGGTTTTTCCATTAAAAAACACACAGACACACATTGACACACACACACACACATGCGCGCTGAGCCGGGCTCACACACACACACACACACACACGCGCTGAGCCGGGCTGACACACACACACACACACGCGTGCGCTGAGCTGGGCTGACACACACACACACACACACGCGCTGAGCCGGGCTCACACACACACACACGCGCGCGCTGAGCCGGGCTGACACACACACACACACACACACACACACGCGCGCGCTGAGCCGGGCTGACACACACACACACACACACACACACACGCTGAGCCGGGCTCACACACGCACACACACACACACACACACACGCGCGCTGAGCCGGGCTGACACACACACACACTCACACACACACACACGCGCGCGCTGAGCCGGGCTGACACACACACGCACACACACACTCACACACACACGCTGAGCCGGGCTGACACACACACTCACACACACACACGTGCTGAGCCGGGCTGACACACACACACACACACACACACACACGTGCTGAGCCGGGCTGACACACACACACACACACACACACGCTGAGCCGGGCTGACACACACACGCGTGCGCTGAGCCGGGCTGACACACACACACACTCACACACACACACACACACACACGTGCGCTGACACAGATGCAGTGGAGGGTGGAGCTGTTTTTCCTGTTTGCTCAGGATGTCAGTTGGGGCTTTGCTTATCTGTGTGTCAACAATGGCCGCCTCACACCCTGAGCCGCTGCCTCTCACTCTGTGTGATATGAGCAGCAAACACCCACCACGATGGCACGGGGCATGTGTCGTGGCAGCGCGTGGCTCAGTCGCTCTGGCGTCAGGAGGTTGCGGGTTCTGGGGGGGGGTCGGGATGGGGGACGGTGGAGGGCTGTGGGGGGGATGGGGGGCGCGGGAAGGAGAGTGATTCAAGACGTGGTCGAAGAGGAGCAAGAAACAGCGCCTTGGGATGTTCTAACGACCTGAGAGACGCGATGGAAACAGGACTCGTTCTGCTTGTCTTCGCACGTCCCTAACTCACCCGCTCCTGATAACTCATCGCTCCAGGAGAAAGGAGCTGGGCGATGAGTTATCAGGAGTTTCCTGTTGATAACGTTTCCCCTTGTCAGATTGTAGCCAGGCAGTACAACAGGAACCTGCCCCGTGGAGCGGACAGGATGGAAAAATCAATCGAGTCATTTCTGCACCGTGTTCAACAGTGTGCGCGTCCTCAGCCGTGTGGGGGCCTGTAGCTCGGGGGTTAGACCCCTCGCCTCGCAAGCGAGAGGGACCTGGGTTTGATTCCTGGCCAGGAGCGAAACATTGGCTGCTGCTGAAAAAAAGGGAGTTTCTCCCTCTTCTAATAATAATAATGATGATCCTTGCATTTGATATAGCGCTTTTCACGTCTTCTCAACATCTCAAAGCGCTTCACAGAATATACTGTAAAGTGAATTGACTGTATATTTGTGGGCGAACGCGGCAGCCAATTGCGCACAACAGTGTCCCACAAACACTCGTGGGTTGAAAATGACCAATTTATTATTGTTTTGTTTTGGAGGGATCCTCATCCTCACCTACAAGGCCATTCACGGCCTCGCTCCCTCCTATCTCTCCGATCTACTATCCCCCTACCTACCTGCCCATCTGCTCCACGTCCCCCGCCCCAACCGCCCTACCATCGGTGGCCGGGCCTTCAGCCACTCAGCCCCCAGGCTCTGGAACTCCATCCCCCAGTGCCTTCGCGCTTCCTCCCTCTCCTCCTTCAAGGCCGGTCTCAAGACCTTTCTCTTTGACTGTGCCTTCAGCTCCACTCTCGACTCTCTACCCCCTCCTCGCCCCCTCCCTCCCCTCCCCTCACCCCGACCATCTCCCCCCTCCTCGCTCCCTCCCTTCCCTCCCCCCAAGGCTCGGGTCCTGACCCAACTGTACAGCGCCTTGGGACGTCCTCCCGACGTGAAAGGCGCTCAATAAATGGAACCTTGTTGTTGTTGTATTATTAGGCTCTGTGTGGAGTAAGGAAACTTGCCCAAGGTTTCGCTCTCTGCCGGGTGTCTCGCTTGCAAAGCGAGTGCTCTAACCACTGAGCTACAGTCCTCTCTCTCTCTCTCCCACCCCCCCACCACCACCGCGCTTGACCTGGCCGACATATTCCCCCTAATGGCCATTTGGTGGGTAAATCGGCTGCCATGTTTGCCCACAAATAAGACCAACACAGCGCTCCTCACACAGGGCAGTGTCCCAGAACCCTTGCTTGACAGTGATGGAGCACGAGGCCAAGCCGGGGAGAGGGAGAGCGGGAGGTGACCCTAAGCACAATTAAAGAGAAGGAAGGAAGGAGGGGGTGAGGCGGAGGGAGAGATAGAAGGAGAGAGTGACAAAGAGTTTCGGGGCCTAGTGGCTGAATGAGCGTCCACCAGTGGTGGAGCGGAGGGAGCGAGGGACGAGCAGGAGGCCGGAGCCATCCGAGTGGGTGGTACAGTGGGGGGGGGTGAGCAGGTCGGAGAGGCGGGGAGGTGTCGGGGGTGGAGGTGGGGTGGGGTGGGGGGTGAGGGAAGTGAAGGGATTCGAAGACGAGTGTCAGGATCAAATCCACAGTCACTACACTTCACAATAAATCCTGATGTGATAATTTACTGTAAAGCGTTGGAAAAGAGAAGAGAGTTTCTCTCTCCTTCTCTCTCTCTCTCCCTCTCTCGTTCCCCCCAGTGCTGGGCTGGAACGTCAGCCAAGGCTGTGAGCTCAGAGTCCCCGACTTTGGGGGCTCGAAGCCACAACCACGACACACAGAGTTAAGTGAAATGTAACCCACACACACGGAAAATGTAGAGAGTAAATTTACATTAGATTCCTACGTCAAAATAACAGGAAGCAAATCAGAGAATCCAGTAATCGATTACAAACACACGGGAGGAATTATTGATAGACTAAAAGCCGAGTCATAAACCCGCTGCGTGTTTATTAAGAAAAGTGGGGGCTAAGTGGGGGATCGTTTAACCTGAGACCGAGAAAGACACATACACAGACACACACACACACACACACAGGGAGTTTGGGAAACACACACACTCACACACACAGAGACACACATACACTCACACACTCACAGACACACAGAGACACACTCACACACACACAGACTCCACGTGTAAATTGATGTTGTCTCTCTCTCTCTCTCCTCTCTCTCCTTAAACCCCCCTTGCATTTGATATAATAATAATAATCCTCGCATTTAATCCAGCGCCTTGTCACGTCTTCGAGACGTCTCAAAGCGCTTCACAGGATACACTGTAAAGTGTAGTGACCGTTTTGTGGGCGATATAACGCTTTAATCCACAAAAAGCGTATTGCCCACAAAATACACAGTCACTACACTTAGAGAGAGAGAGAGAGAGTGTGTGAGACAGAGAGAAAGAAAGAGAGAGAGCCAGAGGAGAAATGAGGAAGAGAGAGACAGAGCCAGAGAAAGAGAGTGAGAGAGACAACAATTTACATGTGGACTGTGTGTGTTCCAGCTCTGTGTGTGTGTGTGTGTCTGTCACTGTGTGTGTGTGTGTGTGTCTGTCACTGTGTGTGTGTGTGTGTGTGTGTGTCTGTCACTGTGTGTGTGTGTGTGTGTGTGTGTCTGTCACTGTGTGTGTGTGTGTGTGGTGTGTCTGTCACTGTGTGTGTGTGTGTCCCAGCTTCCACATAGAGAGAGAGAGAGAGCAGTAGTTAGCGCACTCGCCTCACAAGCGAGAGGATCTGGGATCGATTCCCGTGAGCTCTTACGTTCAGGGTGTTGTGTGGTTTACAGTTTTACGATACCGACCTTTAATTCAGCAAACAATACAATTACACACTTAACCTTTGCGCTTCTCTGATGAGGCAGCGACTGATTGACACCCACCACAGCAATCAGTCAGTCAGTGAGAGAGAGAGAGAGAGAGAGGGCGAGAGTGAGGGAAGGAGTGGGGCTGATGGCAGGAGTGAGGGAGTGAGGGAGACTGTGTGTGAGAGGAGCTCACGCACACACAGACACACATGCGCGTGCACACAGAGACAGACGCACATAGACACACACACAGACACACACACACACAGATACACACACATACATAGACACACACGCAGACACGCACACACGGGGAGACACACACAGACCTACACGCATACTGACAACACACACACACAGCCGAGACGCACAGACACACGCGCGCGCGCACACGGAGCCGGGATGCAGCGTTGGCTGACACTGTGTCTCTGTGCTGCTCTGATGGCGAGGACCCATTTAGTCAGGAATCCCTACTCCAAGTGCACGGAGCGGCTGTTCACACTGAACGTGATGCTGCTGAACGATTCCGAGTCGCCTTGGACCTTGAGCCAAGTCACACCTGCGGTGACCGGTAGCCTGAGCCAGGTACAGACCTCACTACAGCAGCGAGGTGAGCCCCGCAACAGCCCTCAGCCGACTGAGAGGCTCTCTCTCTCTCTCTCTCTGTCTCAGTCTCTCTCTGTCTCAGTCTCTCTCTGTCTGTATCTCTCTCTTTCTCAGTCTCTCTCTCTCTGTCTGTCCGTCTCACTGTCTCTCTGTCTCAGTCTCTCTCTGTCTCAGTCTCTCTCTGTCTCAGTCTCTCTCTCTCTGTCTGTCCGTCTCAGTGTCTCTCTGTCTCAGTCCATCTCTCTGCTCAATCTCGCTCTCGCTCTCTGTCTCAGTCCTCTCTCTCTCTCTCTCAGCTCAACCTCTCTCTGGCTCAGTCTTTCTGTTTGAATCAATCTCGCACACTCTCTCTCTCTCTCTCTGGCTCAATCACTCTCTCTCTGTCTCAGTCTTCCCAGCGCCCTGGGACGTCTTTCTGACGTGAAGGACGCTATACAAGAGTAATTTGTTGTTGTTGTTTCCCTGAACGAGTCTCTCTCTCTCTCTCTCTCTCTGCCTCTCTCTCTCTAATTCAATCTTGCTCTGTCTCTGGCTCACTCTCTCTCTCCTTTAATCAGTCTCTCTTTCTGAAGCAGATGCACTCTCTCTCTCGCTCGCTCTCCCCACAACCTCCTGACTCAGATGAATGAACCACGGACACACAAATACATGCACGAACATACAAAGTCACGCATGTAAACGCACACCAACACATGTGTTGAGCCAACACATTCACATGCACAAACATATAAACAATGATAAGCATTGCATTTAACCCAGTGCCTGATCACGTCTTTGAGACGTCTCAAAGCGCTTCACAGGATGCACTGTAAAGTGTAGTGACTGTGTATTTTGTGGGCGAAATGCGGTAGCCAATTGCGCCCCCAGCGACGTCCGCACAAACAGCCGGGGGTTGAGCGACCAAATTATTTATTTTTCTGAAGGGATTATTACCCCCAGAATAGTAATCCCCCAATTGACTAACAACCGGGTTCCCACTGACTGCTGGTAAACAGGTGCGTGTGTGTGTGTCGTGTGTGTATGTGTGTGTGTCTGTGTGCGTGTGTCTGTGTGTGTGTGGAATAAGGAAACTTGCCTAAGGTTTCGCCCTGAACCGGGAATCGAACCCAGGTCTTCTCGCTTGCGAGGCGAGGGCTCTGACCACTGAGCTACAGGACATACACTGTGAAGTCAAAGCTCACACAGATGCACAGACTTACAGATTGTTCTCTGTGTCTGTGGCAGAGTTTAATGTGAGTGTTAATGCCTCGTTTTACGGCTTCGATACCTCTCTGTACGTGTCTAAAGGCTGTCGTACCAGCAGCTGTGAGGGTGTGGAGATCCTCAAAAACTTATACGTGAGTAAACACTGCGTGCGCAGCGTGTGTGTCTGTGTGTACTGTGTGTGTGTGCACAGTGTGTGTGTACAGTGGGTAAGGTGTGCAGTGTGTGTCTGTGTGTACTGTGTGTGTGTGCACAGTGTGTGTGTACAGTGGGTAAGGTGTGCAGTGTGTGTATATGTGTACAGTGTGTGTGTGTGCACAGTGTGTGTGTACAGTGGGTAAGGTGTGCAGTGTGTGTATAGGTGTACAGTGTGTGTGTGCACAGTGTGTGTGTACAGTGGGTAAGGTGTGCAGTGTGTGTATGTGTGCAGTGTGTGTGTATGTGTACAGTGTGTGTGTATGTGTACAGTGTGTGTGTACACAGCGCGTGTGTGTATATTCCTGACCTCTCTGTGTGTTACTGTCTGTAGATCGAGGAGGAGTTGGGGTGTGTAGTTCTGGGCCCAACTTGCACATATGCCACCTTTCAAGTCGTGTCGTAAGTCTTTACACACTCACTCGCTCACACTCACTGGCTCACACTCACTCACTCTCACAAACTCACTCGCTCACACTCACTCACTCACACTCACTCAATCACTCACTCACTCACTCGTTCACTCTCACTCGCTCACACTCACTCACATTCACTCACTCGCTCACACTCACTCGCTCACTCACTCGCTCACACTCACTCGCTCACTCACTCGCTCACACTCACTCGCTCACTCACTCGCTTACACTCACTCGCTCACTCACTCACTCGCTCACTCACTCACTCATTCACTCACTCACTCACTCACTCACTCACTCACTCACTCACTCACTCACTCACTCACTCACTCACTCACTCACTCCTTCAACGCGCTCACTCCCCTCGCTCTGTCGCTTTCTCCCCTTACTCACCAACTCATTCACTCCCTCATCCGCTCGCTCGCCCTTCACATTTTTTCTTCATTCACTTGTTCTCTCTCTCCCTCCCTCCTTCACTCCTTCACTCTCTCCCTCCTCCCCCCAGTCTCTCCCCTCCCTGCTCCAGTCCAGAGGACATCCTCTGACGTCTGTGCCTGGTGTCAGCCTTCCCTGTGCAGTACAGTTTGGTACCACAAAATACACAGTCACTACACCTTACAGTATAGCCTGTGAAGCACTTTGAGAAGTCTCGAAGACGTGACGAGGCGCTGGTCAAATGGCCCCCACCCAGCCCAGCCCACCCCACCATCGGCAGTCGGGCCTTCAGCCTCTCTGCCCCCCCTTTGGAAACCCATCCCACAGTCCCTCCACCTCGCTCACTCTCCTTCGCCTCCTTCAAGGCCCGTCTCAAGACCCCCACTTTGGTCACTCTCCTACCCCTTACCCCAAACCCTCAATCTCCAGCTCGGGTCCAGATCCCTGACTGTCCAGCGCCTTGGGACATCCTCCCGACGTGTAAGGTGCCGTGTGAACGTGTCGTGAAGCGCTTTGAGGCCACGCGCGAGGGGGTAGCCGAGGGACCCTGTATCAAACATAAGGAACATTACAACAGCCTCCCTCCTCTCCTCCCCACCACCCCCCACCCAGGCTGAATACCTTCCTGGAGATTCCCATCATCTCGGCGGGAAGCTTCGGACTTTCCTGCGACTTCAAGCCCAACGTAACCCGGATCCTACCCCCGGCCCGGAAACTCTCCAACTTCTTCATCTACTTCTGGAAGCACGAGAGCAAAGTGAAACCCTCGATCTGGAACTCCACCTACATCTACAAGAAAGAAGAGACCTCCGAAGCCTGTTTCTGGTAGGCCTTAGGCTCGTTGGGTGACTTGGTAGACCAGTCATTGGGGGCAGAGCTCCTGCTTCAGGCCACCCACCCCATTCGTCCCGCCCCACCATTGGCGGTCGGGCTTTCAGTATCTCTGCCCCCACACCCTCAACCTCCAGAACTCTACCCTCACAATCCCTCCGCCTCACACCCTTCCTCTCTTGCCACCTTCAAGTTCCATCTAAAGACCTTCCTCTTTGACGGTGCTTTCCATCAGCCTCCCACCCCCACCCCCAACCCACCTGCCCTCCACGCCTACCTTCGCCAACTCCCGGGGGGGTGGTCGGGGGGGTCGGTGGGGGGAGGGATGATCAGGGAACGGAACATGACAGATCTGCTCTGGTCCCAGGTACATGAACGGGCTTGAGGCTGGGTCCGCTCTCTTCTCCCTGGGTTTGCAGTTTAAGGAAATCATCCGTTCTGTCAACGGATTCCGAGAGACAGTCAACAACCCGAACAGGAAGAGTAATGGTGAGTCCTACACACTCCATTCACCCCTCTATTTCCGTCCTTTACACCCCTCTATTCCCCCCTCCCTCACCCCTCTATTCCCCTCTCTCCCATCCCTCTATTCCCCCCTCCCTCACCCCTCTATTCCCCTCTCTCCCATCCCTCTATTCCCCCCTCCCTCACCCCTCTATTCCCCCCTCCCCCACCCCTCTATTACCCCCTCCCCCATCCTTCTATTCCCCTCTCTTTATTATTTGCTGCAATGGCAGACATAATATTTCATGTCTGTCTGTTTTTGCAGTGTTTATTCTGTGTGGGACTCCTTTTGATGTGGGAGCTCTGGTTCATGGGATTCCTATGGACAAAGACATCGTCATTATTTTACTGGACATCTTCAAGTAAGTTCCTGCTTCAGCCCTCTCTACACTGTGCGTCCGTCCACACTCCCAGGTCAGGGTTAGAGACACAGTAAAGCTGTGTCTCTATAACTCCGTTCCCACCCCTCTTGATTCCAACCCCCAGCTCGGGTGCAAACCCTTCATGGGCAGCACATTGGGATGTCCTTCTGATGTGAATGGCGCAGTGCCAACATAATTGTGTTGTTGCTCCTCTGCGTTGTGTGTTGCTGTGTTCCTCTGTAACCTCTCCCTCTGTCTCTCCATCTCTCAGTCACAGCTATTTCGCCAACTCCATGTCCATGGAGTTTATGAAGCAGGTTCTCGTTGTGACCTGGATGCCCCCGGATTTTGACCACAATTACAATGAGACTCCCAACGTCACCCAGGTAACATACTGGGTTGTTAGTCGTTTGGTGGATCACTTTTCCGGTGGTAATAATCCCGCCAACAAGATGATATCCTCAGGCACTGACAGCATCACCATCCTTGCACACTCCATCTGGATCCTTGGCGTCTTGGCATCTTGTTTGACCCTTAACTATCCTTTCTACCCCATAACCTGCTCCACCTTCCCCACCTCCGCCACCGTCTCACCCCGCAGGCCCCCGAGACCCTCACACACGCCTTCATTACATCCAGGCTCGACTACGCAAACGTCCTGCTTGTCGGCCCCCAACTCCTCCCTCCACAGGCTGTAGATCATCCAGAACTAACTCTGCAGCCAATGTCCTCTCCCGCACCAGGTTCCATGACCCAATCACCCCCATCCTCGCCCCCACCAGGCCCCGTGACCCTATCACCCCCATCTTCACCCCCACCAGGCTCCGTGACCCTATCACCCCCATCCTCACCCAACTTCACTGGCTTCCTATCACACAGAGGATCATGGTCCTCACCTTCAAAGCCCTCCATGGCCTCGCTCCCCCTCAACCTCCTAACCCTCTACAATCCTGCTCGCTCCCTCCGCCCAGCGGGCTCCGGCCTGCTTTGAGATATCTTGAAGACGTGATAAGCCGCTGTATTGTTATTATTGTTGTTCCAGACCTACAATGACTTCGCTGTGGGCTACAGCGATGCTGTGTTGCTGTTCGGGCAAGTTCTGGGGCAGTTCCTAGAGAAACATCTTGTCCCGACTCGCTCTGACTTCATAAAGCATTTCCGTAATGTCACCTTCATGGGTAAGTGGCTTCCTCAGCCCTGGACTGCTCTGTAACGCTTGCCACACGTGTGTAACTTGCTTGTGTAGCGTGCCAAACATGCCTGCAACATGCCTGTAACATTTTCAACGTTTGCCACGTTTCTGCCCCAAAATATACAGTCACAACACTTTACAGTCCGCGTTTACCCAACGCCTTTCACGTGGGGTAGCGCTTGACATTGGGGGAGTCTGACCCCAAAGTCAAGGGGGAGAGTGGGGGGGGGAGGTGACCATAAACATGATCAAACAGGACGGTCTGTGTGTGTAATGTGTGTGTTTGTGTGTAACATGCGTGTCTTCCTGTGTGTGTGTGTGTAAAATGCGTCGAACTGCGTATAACCCCCACGTGCGTGTGTAACATGACCCGTGTAATGTGTTCTGTGTGACATGATTTGCAGGCTCGTTGGGCCCAATCCACTTGGATGAGTACGGAGACCGTGACATTAACTTGACTGTGTTTTACACGTCATCAAGGACCTTGGAAGTAGGTGTTTTACTCAAGCGCTGGGGGTGGAGCTGAGGGTTGGGGGAGTGAGGGAATTCATGGGCAAGTGGTAGGGAGCCAGTGGGGGCTGGCGAGGGCTGGGGTGTAAGATATTAATATATATGATATATTAATACAATCCTTGTGTGATTTTGTTCCAGTACAAGGTTTTGCTTTACTTTAATACAAAGACAAACATCACAAATATTATTGACTCAAATCCTGAGTTTGTATGGAAACAAAGCCTTCCACACGATGTGCCAGAAGTCTTCAACAAAGGTACTACACACACGGAAACCCGTCACCGTGACCGGCCGGGTGTCCGACACACACGGAAACCCGTCACCGTGACCGGCCGGGTGTCCGACACACACGGAAACCCGTCACCGTGACCGACCGGGTGTCCTACACACACGGAAACCCGTCACCGTGACCGACCGGGTGTCCTACACACACGGAAACCCGTCACACATTTTGGTAATTTATGTCAAATGTGACCTTAATTGAGATTGACGTACAGACAGATCAGCCACGATCTGATAGAATGGCGGAACAGCCTTGAGGGGCTGAATGGCCTCCTCCTGTTCTTATGTTCCCATGGTGGAAATACAGAAGAGAGACCCTCTCCCCCGGTGTCCTGGCCGACAATCTCTGATTTTCCCAGAGGAAAGAGTTCAAAATCCTTGTCCTCGCCTTCCAGGCTCTCCACGGCCTTGCCCCTCCCCACTCTGCGATCTGCTGACACCCCCCCTACCAACTTGCTCGCTCCCTCCACTCAGAGGGCTCTGGCCTGCACCACGTCCCATGCCTCGCCTGCTCCACCATTGGTGGTGGGGCCTTCAGCCACTCTGCCCCCCCCACCCTCTGGAACTCCATCCCGCAGTCCATCGACTTTGCCCCCTCCCTTGCCACCTCAAGACCTTCCTCTTCGACCAAGTGCGCCCTACCCTATCCCAAATGTTGTTGCTGTTTGTGCCAGGTATACTGTCCCAGATGGTGGCAGTGATAGTCTTGACCGTGACTGTGGTGTTGGTTCTCTTCGTTGCCTTGTTGATATTACGGTAAGAGACCTTCTGCTAACCTCACCCCTGTGACCCCCCCTACCAACCCTGGCCAGCTCCTCGTCCCTCCCTACCCTACCAGCTCTGCCGAACCATCAGTGAGTGAGCTTTTAGTCACGCCTATCTCCTCTCCCTCTGCCTTTTCCCCCCACCTCAATCCCTCCTTCTCTGCTTCTATAGTCCAGTAGCTCAGGCATTAGACCCTTCGCCTCGCAAGCGAGAGGACCTGGATTCAATTCTCTGGCAGGTCGGGACGAAACCTTGGGCAAGTTTCCTTACTCTCCACATATATTGATTGGCAGATGGCTTTTCCGGGAGTAATAATCCCTCCAAAAGAAAAATAATTTGGTCACTTAATCCACGACTGTTTGTGGGGATGTCGCTGGGCGCAAACGTGGGCTGCCACGTTTCGCCCATAAAACACACTTTACGGTATATCCTGTGAACCACTTTGAGACGTCTTGAAGATATCCAATTTGTTGTCCTGAAATGTCCTCCTTTGAGGGGGTGGACAGGGATGGGGCAGGGGCTGGGGTTCAGCCCCCCAAACCCACAACCCGCTGCCTCCACTCGACCGGCTCCGGCCTCCATCATTGGTCGTACTTTCAGCCACTACGCCCCGAACCTCTGGAACTTTCTCCCCCAATCCTTCCCTCTGTCTTATCCCACCCTTTCAGGGCTGTGTGTGTCTAAAGACCTTCCTCTTCGACCAGTGCCCAGTTCCTTCCTCCCTCTCCCCCCCACCCCCGGCTTGGGGGTCAAGCACTCTGGGACTCTGCCCGGCGTGAGGGGCAAGTTGTTGTTGTTGAAGACCCTCTGTCCCTCCCGCCAGGCATTTCCGGAATGACCGGCAGGTGCGGATGAAGAAATGGTCGCACATCCCATCCGAGAAGATTGTTCCCCTGGAAAGAACGGAGAAAAACCAGATCAACCTCAAGGTCAGCCCCCAGCCAGGCCTGGGCCAATCACACGCCCCGAGGCCTGGGCCAATCACACGCCCCGAAGCCTGGGCCAATCACACGCCCCGAAGCCTGGGCCAATCACACGCCCCGAAGCCTGGGCCAATCACACGCCCCGAAGTCTGGGCCAATCACACGCCCCGAAGCCTGGGCCAATCACATGCCATGCCACCTCCACCTATCATGAAGCTCAGATGCCCAAGACCACCCCCCCCCTCCCCCCACCCCCACAGTGACCACACTCATGCCCCCCCCCCCACAGAGACCACACCCCCACAGTGGTCACGCCCCCATATAGACCGCGCCCCCACAGTGACCATCCTTCATAGACCACATGCCCCAGAGACCACACAGGCCACACCCACACTGACCACACCCACATAGGCCACACCCCCATCACGGTCACCCTCACATGGACCCCATTCCCCACATAGGTTACACCCTCATAGATAGGCCACACCCCATGGCGGTCACGCCTGCCCACACACATGTCTTGTTTTGGTTGATGTCCAGATCGAGGAGGACAAGAGGAAAGAGAGCATCATTCCAGTTCGGAGAGCGAAATACGACAAAAAGGTACAGAGACTCCGTTCAGGTCCCAAAATAAACAAACAACAACAGCAACAACTTGTATCTACAAAGCACCCCACCCCACGCAGGATAGCGTCCCAGAGCGCTTGACAGTGTTGGAACACAACACTGAGATGGGGAGGAGGGAGGGCAGTTGGTGACCAGAGGCTCTGGTCGAAGAGGAAGGTCTTTAAGCGCGACCTGGGAATCCTTATAGTTAGTGCAGCCCCCAACACCTCAATGCGCTTCGCATAGCTTTGCGTAAAGTGTAGTGACTGTGTATTTGGAGATGAATGCAGCAATCAATTAAAATAAGTCTAGGCTGACTCTCCAGTGCAGCGCTGGGGGAGAGAGAGAGAGTGGGAGAGAGACGTGTTGTCAGAGACGCTGTCCTTCAGATGAGATGTTAAACCTCACCCCCCGTCCGTCTGTGCCCTGTTTGCGCGGACGTTAAAGATCTCCGCTGAGGGAAAAGAGAAGGGGGTGTCCCCCCCACCCCCCCCACCTCTCTCTCTCAGTGTTCAGCCCAACAATTCCACCCTCAGATAACACTGTTCGTTCACTTCATGGCTGTTTGTGGGGACGTCGCTGGACGCAAATTGGCTGCCACGTTTCGCCCAGAAAAGCACACAGTTACTACGCTTTACAGTGTACCTCGACGACGTGATAAGGCACCGTATCGAATGCGAGGGAGGGGGTGAGGAGAGGGTAGAGAGTCGAGAGCGGAGCTGAAGGCTGAAGGTCAAAGAGAAAGGTTTTGAGACCGGCCTTGAAGGAGGAAAGGGAGGAAGCGGCGAAGGCACTGGGATAGAGTTCCAGAGCCTCGGGGCTGAGAGGCTGAAGGCCACCGATGGTCGGGCGGTTTGGGGGGGGGATGTGGAGCAGACCGGAGCCAGAGGGACGGAGGGTACGGGCGGGTACGTGGGGGGTTAGTAGGTCAGAGAGGTAGGAGGGAGCGAGGCCGGGAATGGCCTTGTAGGTGAGGATGAGGATCTTGAATTGGATCCTCTGGGGGATGGGGAGCAGTGGAGGGGAGCGAGGGCGAGGGTGGGAGTGAGGGCGAGGGTGGGAGTGAGGGCGAGGGTGAGGGCGAGGGTGGGAGTGAGGGTGAGGGTGGGAGTGAGGGTGAGGGTGAGGGCAAGGGTGGGAGTGAGGGCGAGGGTGAGGGTGGGAGTGAGGGCGAGGGTGAGGGTGGGAGTGAGGGTGAGGGCGAGGGTGGGAGTGAGGGGAGGGTGAGGGTGGGAGTGAGGGCGAGGGGGAGGGTGAGGGTGGGAGTGAGGGTGAGGGTGGGAGTGATGTGGTCTCGGTGTCTGGTGTGGGACAGTACATGAGCTGCAGAGTTCTGGATGACCTGCAGTGTGGAGGGAGGGCCGGGAAGGCCGACGAGGAGAGAGTTCCCATAGTCCGGCCTTGAGGTGATAAAGGTGTGGACCAGAGTTTCAGCCGCGTGAGGGGTGAGGTAATGCCGTAGTCTCTGGCGATGTTCCGGAGGTGGTGGAAGGCGGTGCCGGTTGTGGTGCGGATATGAGGGAGAAAGGACGGCTCAGGGTCGAAGGGAACCCCGATGTTCCTGATGGCTTTGAGAGGTGGAGAGTGCGGAGCTGATGGTGTCAGCGCCTGACGTGTAGTGACTGTGTATTTTGTGGGCGAAACGAGGCAGCCGCTTGGGAAGGGTGGGTGTGCGCTGTACCCGGTTTGTGTGTAGGTGATTGATGTGACTTTGTCTCCAGATCGTGATTCTGAAGCTTCTGAAACACGGGGATGGAAATTTCACTGAGAGGCAAAAGATCGAGCTCAATAAGGTCAGCATCGCAGGCTCCGATCTCTCTCACTCTCTGTGTCACTCCCCCACTCCATCGCTCTCTTACTCTCTCCATCTCCATCGCTCTCATTCCCTCCATCATTCTCTCACTTCCTCCATCATTGTCCCACTCCCTCCATCACTCCCTCCATCACTCTCTCTCTCCAATGCTCTCTCTCTTTCTCTCTCCCTCCCCCCAGCACAGCGCTGGAACGTCAGCCTAGACTGTGAGCTCAGAGTCACTGACATGGGGGGCTCGAACCCACAACCTCCTGACTCGGAGGGAAGAGAGAGAGAGAGCAAGCGAGAGAGAGAGAGAGAGAGAGAGCAAGGGCTACCACTGAGCCGGGCTGACTCACATTTGACACAGTACCACCCACACCAGGAGGACTTCTGAAAGCACTTCACAATCACAGTAAAGTGAAGTAACTAGGCATTTGGCAGGCAAATAGTGGTGGGGGGGGTGAAAGGGGAAAATGATACCTTTCTCTGCTTTGACGTGAGTTGCACTTGGTGGCTGCATCGACCTCTCCTGACGGACATTGTGGGGCTTGAACCCGCAAACCTCATGACTCGGAGGTGAAAGACGGAGGGACTTTGAGGCCAGGGTTGAGATCAGTCAGGACAGACAGAATGGCGGACCTTTAGTTGCCGGGATAAGGATGGAGATAGTAACACAGTGTGTCTCCGGCTCAGCTGTTGCAGATCGACTACTATAACCTCACCAAATTCTACGGCACTGTCAAGATGGAATGTGAAATATTCCGAGTCATTGAGTTCTGTGAACGAGGATCGCTCCGGGTACGTTACACAACCACCATCATCTTCATCACCTTCATCACAGTCATAACAGGGATTAGACCCCTTGCCTCACAAGCGAGAGGACCTGGGTTTGACTCCTGGGCAGGGGGGCACGCGCACACGCACACGCACACACACACACACACGCCTGTGTTTCCCAGCAGTCAATAGGAACCCGGTTGTTAGTCGATTGGGGGAATCACTTTCCGGGGGTAATAATCCCTTCAAAAAAAATTGGTCACTAAATCCACGGCTGTTTGTGGGGACGTCGCTGGGGGCGCAATTGGCTGCCGCGCTTCGCCCACAAAATACACAGTCACTACACACTTTACAGTGTATCTTGTGAAGCGCTTTGAGGCGTCTCGAAAACACTTCACAGGATACATTGTAAAGCGTAGTGAACGTATATTTTGTGGGTGTGTAAAAAAAAAATTCTCCTTCGATGGGGAGGACAAGTTTGCAGGGCTGTGGGGAGAGAGAGGGAGTGGGGTTGATCGGGGCTATGGGGAGAGCGGGGAGTGGGGTTGATCGGGGCTATGGGGAGAGAGCGAGTGGGGGGAGTGGGTTGATTTGGAGATTTGGAAGCTCTTTTCAGCACAGCTCAGATACAATGGGCCGAATGGCCTCCTTCTGTGCTGAATAATTCAACGGTTCTGTGACTCTAATATCCCCATTTGTCTTAAATTAGTTTATTGTCTCATATGAAGGACGGTGTCTCTGACAATGCGTCTCTCTCTCTCTCTCCACCAGCGCTGCGCTGGAGCGTTAGCTCAGAGCCCCCGAGGTGGGGCTTGAGCCCACAATGGTTGGGGGGCCTCAGAGTGTGCGTTGGGTTGGGTTTGCGGTGTTGGGTCTTGTTGACCTCAGGCTGTTGAGGGTTCCTCTCTCTGTTGCTCAGGATGTTCTGAATGACACAATCTCTTACCCCGATGGTACGTTCATGGACTGGGAGTTCAAGATCTCAGTCATGTGTGACATCGCCAAGGTGAGTGTCACCCGCACGGGCAGGAAGTGGCTGAGGGCCGCACAGGAAGTGACCTCAGCACTGCCGATCGCTCGCAGGAAGTGACATCCAAAGTGCTGCTTGCTCGCCCCGTGCCGCTCGGTCGCAGGAAGTGATGTAGTGGTGTTGCTTGATGGCAGGACGTGGCATCGCGAGGTGCTGCTCGCTCGCAGGAAGTGACGTCAGGAAATGAAATGGTATTCAGGAAATGATATCATCGGTGACCTGACAACCTGGAAGTTTGCCTTTTTTGGGGGTTGGAAGGGGGAAATCTGAAGTTACGAACCCAGATATCGGGGTATAATGGGATATAATGTCAATCAGTTTGACGTCAGATTGTCTGTCGCTCGCTGTACAGTCTCTCACTTTCCCTCTCTCTCTCTCTCTCGCTCTCTCTCGCGGTTTAGGGGATGTCCTACCTCCATTCAAGCAAAACCGAGGTTCATGGGCACCTCAAATCAACCAACTGTGTGGTGGATAATCGAATGGTCGTGAAGATCACAGACTTTGGGTGTAACACAATTGTTGTACCCCAGAAAGGTACATCTTAATCAGGTTCCAGTCCGGCTCAGTCGCTCACAGTCTCACCTCCGAGTTGGAAGGTTGTGGGTTCAAGCCCCTACCACCTCAATACCACCCCCTCCCCACCCCCTCATGTCAGGGACTCTGAGCTCACAGTCTGGGTTGACATTCCACCCCCAGCCCTAGGGGGAGAGAGAGAGAGAGAGGCATTGTCAGGGACTCCGTCCTTCAGGTTAAACCTCACTCTGTTGACGTTAAAGATCTCCCGCGACACTATCATTGGGGGCGGGTGGGGAGGGGGTAAGAGAAGGGAGTTTCTCTCTCTCACTCTCTCGCTCGCTCTCTCGGCTGATAGATAAAATCACTCGTTCACTTAACGGCTGTTTGTGGGGACGCCACCATAGAGGGGAGGGATGGAGTGAAGGAGGGACAGGTGGAGGGAGGGAGGGAGGGGAGTGTGGTTGCTGACCTGATGTGTGGCTGTTATTATCAGACCTGTGGATGGCTCCCGAACTCTTGCGTCAGGAGGATGTGAAGGGAGTGTCCCAGAAAGGCGACGTCTACAGTTATGGTATCATAGCCCAGGAGATCATCCTGCGCAGGGAGACCTTCCACACAAAGTGCTGCACTGACCGCAAAGGTGAGGGAGGGACAGAGAGGGACACACACAGACACACAACACAGACGATGAGACACAGAGAAAGAGAGAGTCAGACAGAGTCAGACAGACAGACAGACAGACAGACAGACAGACAGACAGACAGACAGACAGACAGACAGACAGACAGACAGACAGACAGACAGACAGACAGACAGACAGACAGACAGACAGACAGACAGACAGACAGTTGACGTGGTAACCAGTGTCCCTGTTCCCCGCTGTGTAGAGAAGTTGCGGAGAGTCAGGAAGGTGAGGGTTTGCTCCCCGTTCCGGCCGGACCTGCAGTTGGAGACGGCGAATGAGAAGGAACTGGAGGTAACGCGTGTCCGTGGCTCAGTGAACCCCCCCCCATCCCCCCAACAACTACCCAACCCCCATTGTACTGGAGAGCGTGCATTTGGCACGTGCTTGTCCTCGCCATGTCCTTAGTGTGTGCTGTGTGTTACGAGCATGTGATCAGCGTGTGCTCAGCGTATCCTAAGTGGCGTGCCTTTGTCACCTCAAGGCTGGACTATGGGAACTCTCTCCTCGCCGGCCTTCCCGGCCCTCCCTCCACAAGCTGCAGGTCATTCAGAACTCTGCAGCTCGTGTACTGTCCCGCACCAGGCTTCGGGACCACATCACTCCCACCCTCGCTCGCCTCCACTGGCTCCCCATCCCCAGAGGATTGATTTCAAGATCCTCATCCTCACCTACAAGGCCATTCACGGCCTCGCTCCCTCCTACCTCTCCAACCTACTATCCCCTACCTACCTGCCCGTACCCTCCGTTCCTCTGGCTCCGGTCTGCTCCACGTCCCCCGCCCCAACCGCCCTACCATCGGTGGTCGGGCCTTCAGCCTCTCAGCCCCGAGGCTCTGGAACTCCATCCCCAGTGCCTTCGCCGCTTCCTCCCTTTCCTCCTTCAAGGCCGGTCTCAAAACCTTTCTCTTTGACCGAGCCTTCAGCTCCCCTCTCGACTCTCTACCCCCTCCTCGCTCCCTCCCTTCCCTCCCCTCACCCTGACCATTTCCCCCCAATGCTCGGGTCATGACCCAACTGTGCAGCGCCTTGGGACGTCCTCCTGACGTGAAAGGCGCTCTATAAATGGAATCTTGTTGTTGTTGTTGTTGTTGTTGTGCTCAGTGTCTGCTAAGCGTGTGTTCAGCATTGTCCTAAACATATGTCCGACGTGGGCTAAGCATGCGCTGAGAATATACTCAGCGTGTGCCAAGCATGTGCCAAGCATTTGCTAAGTGTGTGCTAAGCATGTGCTAAGTGTGTGCTAAGCGTGTGCTGTGCTGTTGCAGGTGTACAGTCTGGTGAAAAGCTGTTGGGACGAGGATCCCGGAAAAAGACCCGACTTCAAGAAAATCGAGACAACTATGTGTAAAATCTTTAGGTCAGTCTCGGGGAGCGGTGTGTGGGGGGGGGGGATTGGGGAGAGGAGGGGCAGCGGGAGGGGGGATGGTGGAGAGGAGGGGGAGCGGGGAGGGGGGAATGGGGGAGGGGAGGGGGGGAATGGGGGAGAGGAGGGGGAGTGGGGAGGTGTGGAATGGGGGAGAGGAGAGGGAGCGCAGGGGGGGAATTGGGGAGAGGAGGGGAGCGGGGGGAAGTGAAATGGGGGAGCGGGGAGGGGGGATGGGGTGAGGAGGGGGAGAGGAGGGGGAGCGGGGAGGGGGGGAATGGGGGAGAGGAGGGGGAGCAGGGGAGAGGAGGGGGAGCGTGGGGGGGCAGAATTGGGGAGAGGAGGGGGAGCGGGGAAGGGGGCGGGGAATGGAGGAGAGGAGGGGGAAGGGAGAGAGGGGGAGACGTGACGACAGCTCAGAGCGTCATCAGTTCCCGTGACCCCGGTGGAGAAATGATTCAAGTCCCCCGCTCCCTGCTCCCCCCCTTCCCCTCCCCCCACTGACTCTCCCTCCCTCTCACCGCACCCCGTCCCCCCCACTTTCATGTCAGACGGACGTCTCAAAGCCCTTCAAGGGATTGATTCCCTGCCAAGTGTAGTGACTGTGTATTTTCGGGGCGAACGAGGCAGCCGGTTTGCGCACAGCGACGTCGCCGCAAACAGACATAAAGCGAGCGAGCAATTTTATTTGTGGGGGAGTCAGGAAACCAGGAGAGAGAGAGAGAGAAACCCCCTTCTCTTCCCGCCCCCCCCCCCCCCCCCCCCCCATAGTGTGGTGGGAGACCTCGGGCAGCGAGTGAGGTTTAACGTCTCACACGAAGGACAGCGACTCTGACAATGCATTGCTCTCTCTCTCTCCTCGTTTCTCCCCCCAGCGCTGTGCTGGAGTGTCAGGCTGGACTGTGGGGTGTAGTGGGGGGTGCGCGGCGGGGGGGGGGGGGGGGGGAGAGAGGGCACGAGAGCGACTGAGCCACAGGCGGACGCAGGAGGCGTTCTCCGCGTGGAGTGAACCTCCTCTCGTTCCTCCTGCAGCAGTTTCCACAGTCAGACAGACAAGAGCTACATGGACACTCTGATCAGACGGCTGCAGATGTACTCGAAAAACCTGGAGCACTTGGTGGAGGAACGGACAGTGTTGTACAAGGCTGAGCGGGACCGGGCAGATCGTCTCAACTCCATGCTCCTTCCCGAGTGAGCCTCTCCCGCCTCTTGCTATCTCCCCGCCTTTCCAATCAGATATCAATATTAATAATTAATAATAATGCTAATAATCCTTGCATTTCTTACCGCGCCTTATCACGTCATCCCCCACATCACGTCATTCCTCTCTCTCTCTCTCTCCTCTCTCTCTCCCACCCCCCCACCCGCCCCCTCTCTCTAATCAAAGCTATTATTATTATTATTAAGTTTATTATTATTAATAATATTAATCCTGCCATTTGATACTGTGCCTTATCGCGTCTTCGAGACATCTCAAAGGGCTTCGCAGGAATCACCGTAAAGTGTAGTGGCTGTGAGTTTTGTGGGTGAAATGCAGCAACCAGTTTTGCCCAGCGACGTCCCCACAGCCATGGATTGAGTGACCAAATTATTATTATTTTTGAAGGGATTATTACCCCCGTAAAAGCGATCCCCCAATCGACTAACAACCAGGTTCCTAATTACTGTTGGGTAAACAGAGGCGCTCGCGCGCGCGCGCGTGTGTGTGTGTGGGGGTGGGTGAGAGGGTTAGTAAAGAAACTTGCCCAATGTTTTGCCCCGACTGGGAATTGAACCCAGGTCCTTTCGCTTGCAAGGCGAGGGCTCTAACCACTGAGCTACAGGACTCCAGGAGTATTGTTGTCGTCGGTATCATCGTCGTGTTGTCGTTGTCGTTGTTGTTGCTGTTGCTGCTTTTGTTGCTATAGTTGTTGCTGTTGTTGTTGTCATTGTTGTTGTCGTCATTGTTGTTGCTGATGCTGTTGTTTCCGTTGTTATTGTCGTTGTTGTGGCCGTTGTTGTTGTTGTCGCCGTTGCTGTTGTTGTCATAGTTGTCGTTCTTGTCATTCTTGTTGTTGTCGTTCTTGTTGCTGTTGTTGCTGTTGTTGTCGTTCTTGTTGCTGTCGTTGTTGTCGTTGTTGTTGTCCAGCCTGTGTGTACATCTGTGCTGTTCGCTGTGTCCAGGCCGGTGGTGAAGTCCCTGAAGGAGACGGGCCGGGTGGAGCCGGAGCTGTTTGAGGAGGTGACAATCTACTTCAGCGACATTGTGGGCTTCACCACCATCTGCAAGTACAGCTCCCCCATGGAGGTGGTGGATATGCTCAACGACATGTACAAGAACTTCGACCGTATCCTGGACAACCACGATGTCTACAAGGTCAGTGACCCCCTCCCCACCCCACCCCCCCCAACCTGCCCGCTCTCCAGGCTCCAGCCTACCCCACATCTCCCACCCCACCATTGACGGGCGGGCCTTCAGCTTCTCTGCCCCCCCCACCACCCCACCTTCTCGAACTCCCCCCGCCAAGGATTGGGGTGTGGGGTGTATTAAGCCACGAGCTGATAGTCTAGGCTGATCTTCTAGCGCAGCTCTGGGGGGGAGCCGAGGCGAGGTGTTGTGAGGCGAGGAGAGGGGGGGGTCAGTCAATCACCGCTCGCGCTCTCTCTGCAGGTGGAGACCATCGGCGATGCCTACATGGTGGCCTCGGGTTTGCCGAAGAGGAACGGCAACCGTCACGCCGTGGACATCGCTAGCATGGCGCTCGACATCCTCACCTTCATGGGCTCCTTCGAGCTGGCTCACCTGCCCGGCCTCCCCGTGTGGATCCGCATCGGCATTCACTCCGGTAAGGCTCAGCCTTTGACCCCCCGCTGTCCTTCCGCACCGTGACACACTCTGCCTTTCCCCCCCCCCACCCACCCACCACCTCCGCCACGTCGCCCAGCTCCAACACTGTCTCACACCGCAGGTCCCCGAGACCCTCACACACGCCTTTGTTACATCCAGGTTCGACCCCCACCCCCCAACTCCTCCCTCCACAGGCTGCAGATCATCCAGAACTCTGCAGCCGTGTCCTCTCCCGCACCGGGCTCCGCACCCCATCACCCCCATCCTCACCCACCAGCTTCCCATCACACAGAGGATACAGTTCAAGATCCTGTTCCTAACCTTCAAAGCCCCCCACGGCCTCGCTCCCCCCGACCTCTGCCACCTCCTAACCCCCCACCAACCTGCTGCCTCCCTCCGCTCAGCGACCCCCCCCCCCGGCCTCGCTCCCTCGCTCGTGACGGGCGCTGCGCATTGTCAGTTGTTGTTGTTTGACAGTGAGAGACGCTGTGTGTTGCAGGTCCCTGTGCGGCTGGTGTAGTTGGCATTAAGATGCCAAGGTACTGCCTGTTTGGCGACATGGTCAACACAGCCTCACGGATGGAGTCCACGGGACTGCGTAAGAGACACTTCTTAACATACGACCACACGGTTACATCACGCCTATAACACGGACCCCCTCCTGACACACAGGACCTGCTGGCTTCCTGCGGTCAGCCTGGCTCAGCGTGAATAATCTTTGCATTCGATACAGCCCCTTATCACATCTTCGAGACGTCCCAAAGTGCTTCACGGGACATGCTGTAAAGTGTAGTGACTGTGTATTTTGTGGGCGAAAAGCGGCAGCCAATTGCACCCAGTGATGTCCCCACAAACAGCCGTGGATTGAGCGACCAAATTATTATTATTATTATTAAATCATTATTATTCTCGGCCCCAGGCTGGAGCTGGTGGGATTCCAGTTGCTTTAACCAACCTATTCTCTTTCCCCTCCCACCCCTCAGCGTTAAGGATACACGTCAGCCAATCGACCATCAACATCCTGAAGAGGACGGGGTGTAGGTTTGAGTACGAGATACGAGGAGAAACGTTTCTGAAGGTAAACATTTCTCTTGCACCAAACGGTTTATTTCCCACACACCTCACCTGGGTTCGATTCCTGGGGATGAAATAAATGGTGGGCAAGTTTCCTTGCTACACACACACACTCTCACGCACACTCTCACGCACACACTCACACACACACTCACACACACTCTCACACACACACACTCTCACACACACACACACACTCACACACTCTCACACACACACGCGCGCCTCTGTTTACCAGCAGTCAGTAGTAACCCTGTTGTTAGCAGATTGGCTGCTGGTTTTTCTGGGGGTAATAATCCCTTCAAAAACAAAATAATAATAATAATTTGGTCGCTCAATCCACGACTGCTTGTGGGGACGCTCCTGGGCACCATTGGCTGCCGCGTTTCACCCACAAAATATACAGTCACTGCACTTTGCAGTGTATCCTGTGAAACACTTTGAGACGTCTCAAAGACGTGATAAGGCGCCGGGTCAAATGGGTCAAATAATCATTAATTATTATGATTTCTGTTTCAGGGGAAGGGGACTCAGATCACTTATTGGCTCACAGGAGAGACACACAGGAACTGCAAACTGCCAGCCCCACCATCAGCGTAAGTCACACAAACACACAGTGTGCCACACACACACAATCACACAGACATACATACACTCACATATACACACAAACACTCACACACACATATACACACACACTCACACACATACAGACACACACCCACACATATTCACATACACTCACACACAATCACATACTCACACATACTGACACACCCATTCACACACAATCACACACTCACACATGCACACTCACACACATTCACACACTCACACACAATCACTCACACACATTCACACATTCACACACACAATCACACACACACTCACACTTTGGGTCAGGCCTTCAGCCTCTCTGCCCTCACCCTCTGGAACTCCTTCCCACAGTCCTTCCTCCTCACCCCCCTCCCTCACCTCCTTCAAGACCCATCTCAAGACCCTCCTCTTCGACCAACTGCCTTCGGTCACCCTCCTACCCCCACTCTCCCCGCCCTCCACCCCCTCCTGATCCCAACCCCCAGCTCAGGTCCAACCCCTGACTGTCCAGCGCCTTGGGACGTCCTCCCGATGTGAGAGACACCGAGTAAATGTCATGTGTTGTTGTTGTTGTGGTATTGTGAGCAGTCACTGTACGGTTGTGTGTCCACACAGTGAGAACCTGCAGAGGCTCCAGGCCGACTTTGCTCAGATGATCATCACATCTCTGGAGAAGAGGAAGAGCTCCGGCTACCAGAGCGCGAGCCAGGGCAGCAGCAATGACTGGGACCTGGAGTATCTGCAGCTTAACTCCAGCGATATCCTCAGCACCTACCTGTAACTGCCTGATGTGTGTGTGCGCACGCGTGTGTGTCTATGACCGTGTGTCTGTGTGTGTGTGTGTGTACCTGTGCATGTGTGTATATGTGTGTGTGTGTATAAAACAAGGAGTGCGTGTAATAGGAGTGGTTGTGTAATGGGTGTATGTGACACTCTGATAAATGTGTAACAGTGGTCAATGTGTATTGCAAAGATGAGCGTATAATAATATTATTAATAATCATAATAATCCTTGCATTTGATACAGCGACTTATCATGTCTTCGAGACGTCTCAAAGCGCTTCAAAGGGAGTGGTAGTGGGGAGTGTGTTACACAGCGATGAGTGGGTGTTTAACAGCAGTGAGTGTGCAACAACCGTAAGTGTGTAAGGCAGTGTGCACAGCGAGTGTGCAGTAGCAGCAGGCGTTGAACAGTAGTATGTATAGTGCATATATAAAGGAACAGTGGTGTGTAGAATAAGTGTAACAGCAGTGAGTGTGCAACACTTTCTCTATAACGTACGGACGGCCCACTCTCAGGTCACGGTGGTCAGAACCGAGCCCCCCCTCTGTGCCGGTCTCTAGACCCCAGTTCCTGAGCCAGGAGGGGCCACAAGTGTCCCAGGGCACTCACTGCTGATAATAATAATAATAATAATCTTTGCATTTGATATAGCGCTTTTCATGTCTTCTCGACGTCCTAAAGCGCTTCACAGAACACACTGTAAAGTGAATTGACTGTATATTTGTGGGCGAACGCGGCAGCCAATTGCGCACAGCAATGTCCCACAAACAGTCGTAGATTGAAAATGACCAATTTATTATTGTTTTGGTTTTGGAGGGATTATTATTAGGCTCTGTGTGGAGTAAGGAAACTTGCCCGAGGTTTCGCCCTCTGCCAGGAATTGAACCCGGGTGTCTCGCTTGCAAAGCGAGTGCTCTAACCACTGAGCTACAGGACTCGACGGGAAGGACCTGGAAGGGCCGACCAGTCACTGAGGGCAGGGAATCCTCCCCCTCAGCTCCTGTTAACCCTGTAGTGAAAGCCCTAATTAACTAACGGGGAGTGGGGACCGAGCTGGACAAGCAGCGGGAAAGCTTGGCCAGACAGCACTCCCTCTCTCTCTCTCAATGGCCGAGCTGTGTGTGGGTTTAGCTGGTTAGACTCCAACAGTCACCCCCAACGCACACTCTGGGCTCCCCCCCAAGCTTTGGCTTTCGCCAGCGTGCGCCTAATACTCTCCGGAATTAGGTAAGCAGGGGGCGTCCCTTCAGAGAGAGAGAGAGAGAGAGAGAGTGCATTCCATCCCAACCATCTATCTCTGATTCCAGGGGGAATTCTCAGTTGGGTTTGGAGACTCTTAAGTAACGGTGATGGGTTTCATTAAGGATACCACTCACTATTGAGACACACATGGGAGATTTCCATGTGTCTGTGGCATTATATGTGGAACTCCCAGGGGCTTAAACCCATAAATATCTTATTCTGAGCCAGGCTGACACCTATGTGGCACTTCAGTGGTTAGGGCACTCGCCTCGCAAGCGAGAGGACCTGGGTTCGATTCCTGGGCAGGGGGCAATTTTCCTTACTCCACACACACAGACACGCACACGCCTCTGTTGACCGAGCTGTAAGTAGGAACCTGGTTGATAGTCGATTGGCAGATCGCTTTCCCGGGGGTAATAATTGTTTCAAAAAAAGATAATAAATTGGTCACTCAATCCATGACTATTTGTGGGACGCTGCTGAGCGCAATTGACTGCTGTGTTTCGCCCACAAAATATACAGTCATTACACTTTACACTATCTCTTGTGAAGCACTTTGCGACATCTTGAAGACGTGACAAGGCGCTGTGTCAAATGCGAGGGTTATTATTAATACTAATATTATTATGTGGAACTCACAGTCTGGACATGTTTACCGATGGTTTCCTGCGTGTGTCGGCCTTAGGCTGAGCAGGTGAGGGGGGGTGTGTTTTTGGCTCTTGTTTAATTGCTGCTATTCTCTGTACATAAAATAAAGACAAACTCATGAAAAAGGAAACATTTTCAGAATATATTTATTGATGTAATTCTCATTCGCTTGTAAAAATAATAATGATTTGCACATCAGACTATCATTACTAATATCATTACTATTATGAGCATTATTACTATTGTTACTATTATTACTATTATCATTACTATTATTAAGATTATTATTACTATTGTTATTAATTGTTACTATTATTATTACTATTATTCCTGTTTGTTATTATTACTATGATTTATTACGATTATCATTACTATTGCTATTATTATGACTATTATTACAATCATTATCATTAATATTATTATTATTCCAATTATTTGTATTACTATCATTATGATTATTACTATTATTATTGTTGAAGAATGAATGAGACTCAAATCACATGTCAATCACTGGCCTGGCCCCGCCCCCTGTCAATCACTGGCATGGCCCCGCCTCGGTCAATCACTGGCCTGGCCCCGCCCCCTGTCCATCACTGGCCTGGCCCCGCCCCTACCAATTGCCAATCAGGGGCGTGGTCAGGCCAGTGATTGACAGGAGGTGGGGAGAGAGAGAGAGGGACACACACACACACAGGAACAAGACCCGCCCCCCCTCCTTTGCGTCGCGCGTCATATAAACGTCTGACATCAGAGGAAGAGGAAAGATGGCGCTGAACAGGAATCACTCGCAAGGCGGCGGTGTCGTCGTCAACGATGCCGAGTGGTAAGTGAGGGGGCGGGAGGGGGTCATGGTGGGGTGGCCTGACCCCGGGGGGGTAGCGAGGAGGATGAGGGGCTGCCGTTGTCGCCCCCGGTGCAGTGTGTAGCCCCCACTTTGCCCCTCACCCCTCCGGCGCCGCCAACACGAAAACAAACCGTCGCTTCAGCTCCCGCCCCCCTCCCCGCCGCTCCGCTCCTGATTGGCCCGCGCCCACGTCAATTGGGCCCTCTGCCCGCCGTCCATTGGCTGCCCCGCCGCCAGCCGTGCCCTGAGTGGCTGAGAGCACTGCCCGTCAGCGCCAGGCCCCGCCCCCGGCCCTGCACCGCGCGGTGCCGTGCGGGTGTCACGAGACCCGGTGACGTCAGAGTCCGTGTATCAACATGGATGAGGGGGAGGGGGTAGAGGGGTGCACAAGGGGGGAAAGGGGAGAGAGAGGGAGGATGGGGGAGAGAGGTGGGAGGAGGGGGGACAGAGAGGGGAGGGGGAAGTTGTTAATACTAATCCTTGCCTTGTGATGGTGGTATCAGTGCCTTATCACAAGACGCCTAAACACAATATACTGTAAAGTGTAGTGACTGTGTGTTTTGTCTGCAAAACGTTGCTGGTGATCTGATTCCCTCCACTCGTGTCATATTAACCCTTATGTAATATTAACAATATTATGTAATAATAATATTATGTAATAGGTGATTCTTCGACCTGCTTCCTTCCCACTACCTACCCACTGCCTCCTACGTGTTTCACCGTCGGTGGCCATGCTTTATAACTCAAAACTCTGGACTCTCCCTCAATCCCCCCACCTTACCTCCTCCCTCTCCAACTTCAGGAGGAACTTTCACTTTGACTGTGCCTACGATCCCCCACCCACCGCCCGGCTTGGCCTCGGGCTCCACCACTGCTCTGGGACCCTGCATGAGGGGCTCAATCTAAATGCAAGTTGTTCTTGTTGTTGATTCATTAATTCTTGCATTTGATCCAGCACCTTTTGTGTCGGGAGGATGTCTCGATACCTTCAACAACAGCTACAAATTGCAGCAAATTACATTTATATAATGACAATAATCCTTGCATTTGATACAGAGCCTTATCAGGTCTTCGAGGCGTCTCAAAGCGCTTCACAGGATACAATGTAAAGTGAAATGGCTGTATATTTTGACATGAAACCAAACGCACCGTTGAAGAGGAGGGTCTTGAGACTGGTCTTGAAGGAGGCGAGGCAGGGGGTGGGGGGCAGGGTCTGTGGGATGGTGTTCTAGAGGAGTGGGAGCAATGAAGCTGTCCAACCATCGATGATGGGGCTGGCAAGCAGGAGACGTGAAGCAGGCCAGAGCCTGTGAGCCAGAGGACCTCACAGGTTGGTGGGGTAAGGAGGTCACAGATGTAAGGATGAATGCGTATCTTGGCTGACGCTAAATCCCCAACCTGGCTCGGTTGGTAGCACTCTCTTTCCTGAGTCGAAAGGTTGTGGGTTCAAGTTCCATGTCGGGAACTCATGTAGTCTATTAATCCTTGGATTTGTTATAGCGCCTCATCACGTCCTTGGGACGTCTCAAAGTGCTTCACAGAAAACATGGATTATAAAGTGAATTGATTGTGTATTTTGATGCAGCATTGTCAGAGATGTCGTTCTTTGGAAGAGACGTTAAATGGTCAGGGTGAGGGGAGGGAAGGGAGGGAGCGAGGAGGGGGAAGAGAGTCGAGAGGGGAGCTGAAGGCTCGGTCAAAGAGAATTAAATTAAGAGACACCGTCTATCTGTTCAGGTGGATGGTTAAAGATCCCACGGCACTATTTGAAAAGAGAAGGGAGTTCCTCTCTCCCGATGGCCTGACCAACAATCTCCCAAATAAAATCAGTCACTCTCTTCATGGCTGCTTGTGGGCCAAATGCTGTGCGCAGATTAGCTGTTGCGTTTATCACAGTCACTACACTTGACAGTTTATGCTGTGAAGCACTTGGACACGACCTCCTGACGTGAAAGCCAACTATAAGGATTATTTATTACCAATTGGTTACTAGCTACTCCCTATTGTACTGCTGTCAAAATTCTCCCAGTTCTGTACCGTTCTCTCGGGTCCCATCTCAGCTTTGTACAAATGTAAGGCATTGTTGTTGTTGCTGTAATTCTAAATCCTTCAACAGGATAAATGGCAGGATCTGTCTGTTACAATTCCTCTGGTGCATGTGTGTCTGGGATTACGTGCTGTAGCCTGGGTACTCACGGCGTCATTTCATTTTATATAAAGCATCTTGAGGTTTAACATCCAATGCGGGAACTAGTGAGAACACATAGCTCCGGATTAGGTGGGGGTCTGACAGATTAGTGGTGGCAGCCAAGATCGGCATCACTCTTGCCTCTCGATCAGAAGCTTGCGGGTTCACGCCCCACATTGGCACTTGAGACTCTTGCACCGTACAGAGGACTTTAAAACAATGTTAAAAGCAACAACAACTTGCACTTATATAACGCCCTCCATGCCGGGCGGCATCTCGGAGCGCAAACAGACATTAAAATATCCTGTGGGGCTATTGGAAAAGAAAAGAGAGTTTATCCCAGTGACAGAGATACATAGACATAGAAACAGAAGCAGACTATTCATCCCCTTGAGCCTCTTCTGCTATTCTATACGATCAGGTCTGATCTACATCTCAAGGCCAGTTACCCGCCCTTACACCATATCCCTTAACACGCTAACCTAACAAATCTACCTCCGTCTTGAAGAAGTGAATGGATTCCAGCATCCACAGCCTTTTGGGGAGAGAGTTCCAGATTTCTACTACCCTTTGGGTGAAAACATGCCTCTTAATTTTACTCCTAAATGGCCTGGCTCTAAATTTAAGATTATGCCCCTTGTTCTGGATTCCCCATCAGAGGAAACAGTTTCTCTGTATCTACGCTATTAAATCCCTTTATTATTTTAAAAACCTTTATCAGATTCTAAACTCCAGGGAATACAGACCAAGTTTATACAACCTGTCCTCATAATTTAACCCTATTAGCCCTGGTATCATTCTTGTGAGTCTGTGCTGCACCTCCTCCAGAGCCAATATATCCTTCCTGATGGGAGCTTTAAGTCGTCTCAAAGCACATCACAGAATACACTGTAGAGTATAGTGATTATATTTTGTTGGCGAAACGTGACAGCCAATTGTGCCCAGGAGCGTCCGACAAACAGCCGTGGATTGAGTGACCAAATGATTATTATTTTGAAGGTATTATTACACATGGAAAGGTGATCCAACAATCAACTAAAAAACAGGTTGCTCCTTACTGCTTGTTAAACAGAGGCGTGAGTGTGTGGAGTAAGGAAACTTGACCAACGTTTCTCTCTGCCAGAAATGGAACCCAAGTCCTCGCTTGCGAGGCGAGTGCTCTAACCACTAAGCTACAGGAGGAGAAAGGGGGGAATCCCTTAGATCCCAGCCGCTGTTGGCTCACTCTAATGTAATTTATCTTGTCTTTCCCACAGCATTTTAAAGGAGTGCAAAGATGTGGAGCTTTCATTCAGTGACATGACTGCCAAGTCTGACTACTTCAAGGGCACAAAGAAGGGTTTCCTATATTTGACCCCTTACAGGGTAAGTCTTTACTACAGTAATAATAATAAAGTGGAATGACTATGTGTTTTGTGGGCAAACAGTCATGGGTTGAGTGACAAATAATATTTATTTATTTTGAAGCAATAATAATAATAATGCTTGCATTTGATATAGCACCTTATCATGTCTGAGACGTCGCAAATTGGGCGGGCTGGGTGGCCTGTTTGCCTGCTGTACAGTCTGTATAAACCTTTGTACTTGTTGCAGATGATTTTCCTGTGCAGAGGCAAAGATCCCATGCAGTCTTTCATGATGCCCTTCTACCTAGTAAAGGGCTGTTCAATCGAGCAGCCCGTGTTCTCTGCTAACTACATCAAAGGCAGTATTGCAGCTGAGGCAGGAGGTACGTGAGAGAATCTCGCGCTGGGGCCTGTGTATTTGTGTAGAGCTGATTGTTGTGCTTTGAGATCGTGACGTCTCAAAGCGCTTCGCAGGATGTACGGTAAAGTGGAGTGACTGCATGCTTTGTGGACGAAACGTGGCAGCCAATGGTGCACAGCAGCGTCCCGCAAACGGTCGTGGATTGAGCGACCAAATTATTAGACAGCGCTAGGTAGTTTGGGACATTTGTGCATCTGACCACCAGGAAGGTGGAAGGCGAAACTAGATGGACCTTTGTCTTCGTTTTGTCTAGAATTAATTTTGTTCTTACGAGTGCTGGAACGGGATGTGATGTGGGGCTGATGTGCTTGTTTGGCAGGTGGCTGGGAGGGTCAGGCCAGCTTTAAGCTGGTGTTTAACAGCGGAGGAGCCATCGAGTTTGGGCAGCTGATGTTCAAAGTGGCTCAGCAAGGTAAGTGAGCTGTCTGACACACACCACACTGCACCACACTGGGGTGATGGGAGATGAGCTACAGGGTCTTTTTTGAGCTGCAAACCGTGACTGTAACTTGTTAATTGTGTGTACAAGTGGTGCCTGTATTGTTTGTGTGTGTGTGTGTGTGTGTGTGTGTGTCTGCACATTTGTGTGTGTGTCTGCACATTTGTGTGTGTGTGTGCGCTTGCGAGAGAAGTGAGTGTATGTGTAGGCGGGTTGCCCTGCTCTAGAGGAGGGTAAGAAGATTAAAGGCAGCATCATGTGCTCTCCCGATAACCATGGTAATCCCGTGAAGGTCGAGTTGTTTGTCTGTCTCTGTCTGTCTTGGTCTGTCTGTCTCGGTCTGTCTGTCACAACGCTGTCTGTCTGATCCTTGGGCCTGAAGAACTGTGTGAACATTACATACTACCAACGTATGCGCGCACACACACACGCACACACCCACACTACGCAACACCCACACACACAGAATAAAGAAACTGTTCGAAGCCATGATGGGGAAGGTGGGCGGGTGTGGGGGTGGTAAGGATGAGGTGAAATGGGTCAAATGGCTTTCTTTCATCACCTGAAACACAGATGAGATAGTTTTCTTTTAGGAAGCAACATCATACATGATAAAATGACATTTACACTGCGCCTTTCACGTTGGGAGGACATCTCAAGGCGCTGGAAAGTCAGGAATTTGGACCCGAGCTGGTTGGGGTGGGAGGGAAATTGGGGTAAGGGAGAGTGGAGCGCAGGGAAGGTGGGGGTAGGAGGGTGAGTGAAGGCGCGATCGAAGAGGAGGGTCTTGAGATGGGCCTTGAAGGAGGCAAAGGAGGGGTGGGGGGGTTGGGGGGGCGAGGCGGAGGGAATGAGGGATGGAGTGCCAGAGGATGGGGGCAGAGAAGCTGATGGTGGGGGTCAGTGGGGGGAACAGACAGGCATTATATTACGGGATACAGTACATAGGGAGTTCAGGACAACGCAGTACATGTGACCTTTCACCCCCTCTCAGCCTCCAGAGGAACCCCAGTGCCGAACGCAGCCTATGGCTACCAGCCCATGGCTGACATGGCCTTTGGCTTTGCCCCACCAAATGGTCCCTACATGCCAAACGGGCCCTACATGGCTAATGGCCCCTACCCCTACCAGCCCCCACCCATGAATGGGGGCTATGCTGGGCCACCCCCACCCATGGGCTATCCTTACGCAGCACACCCCATGCCTCAAGGTAAGGATCTGTTTGGGGGGGGGGGAGGGAGTGTGTGGGGGGTGGAGTGTGTTTGTGAGAGGGGTGGGGAGGGGGCTGGAGTGGGGAGCATGTGTGTGGGGAGCATATGTGGGGGGGGGGCGTGTGTGTGGAGCGGGGGGAGTGTGTGTGTGTGGAGTGGGGAGCATGTGTGTGTGGGAGGGAGTGTGTGTGGTGGGGGGAGTGAGTGTGAATAGTAACGTGTCTTGTTTCTGTATACAGGAGGTTACCCGACTGCACCCAACATGGATATGTACATGGCTCCACCCCCTCCCCCCTACCCCGGCCCCCCCACTGCCCCCATGCTAGACCCAGGACTACCCGGTACGCAAAGCATTTAACTCGTGTTCGCGCACAACTGTTTGTGGGGGCTGCCGTGCGAAATTGGCTGCCGCATTTCGCAGCCACAAAATACACAGTCACTACACTTTGTAACCTCTGCGTCTCTTGTCTTGCAGGTGGAGCTAAAGCAGTAGAGGCAGCTTCCAGCGCTTACTACAACCCCTGTAACCCTCATAATGTCTACATGCCCATGGTGAGAGCCACAGCCACGAGCCTCAGCCTCTCCTTGTAGCTCAGCTCTGCACAGGCCTGGCTGATGTGTTTGACTTGAGTGAGGGGCGAGTGTGCGAGTGTTGGTGTGTAAGTGCCCCTGTCCTGTTGTGTGAGTGACCCCAACCCTAGCTCAGTGGTTAGAGCCCTCGCCTCGCAAGCGAGAGGACCCGGGTTCGATTCCTGGGCAGGGGGCGAAATGTTGGGCAAATTTTCTTACACACACACACACACACACGCGCCTCTGTTTACCAGAAGTCAGTGGGAACCCGGTTAGTCGATTGGGGTATCACTTGGGGATAATAATCCCTCCAAAACATAATAATAATTTTGTCACTCAATCCACGGCTGTTTGTGGGGACGACAATGCGCGCAATTGGCTGCCACGTTTCGCCCCCAAAATATATAGTCACTACACTTTATGGTGTATCCTGTGAAGCGCTTTGAGACGTCTCGAAGACGTGCGTCGGTGACCGAGGCTGTAATCAGTGTGACTCGGTGTGCGAGGCTGTAATCAGTGTGAGTCGGTGTGCGAGGCTGTAATCAGTGTGAGTCGGTGTGCGAGGCTGTAATCAGTGTGACTCGGTGTGCGAGGCTGTAATCAGTGTGAGTCGGTGTGCGAGGCTGTAATCAGTGTGAGTCGGTGTGCGAGGCTGTAATCAGTGTGAGTCGGTGTGCGAGGCTGTAATCAGTGTGAGTCGGTGTGCGAGGCTGTAATCAGTGTGAGTCGGTGTGCAGAGCGCAATACGAGCATGAGCTGGGGTGCGAGGCAATGGTCTTGGGCTGAGCGGAGTCTTATCAGCGTGTGTGTGTTTGTGTGTTGCAGGATCAGCCGCCCCCATACACACCCGCAGACGAGAAGAAAAAGAACTGAAATCACTACAGTCGGCCTCCCTCCCCCCCTCCCCCCCTCCCTCCCTCCCTTCCTCCCCCCTCCCTCCCCCTCTCTCTCTCTCCCTCTCTCTCCCTCCCTCCTACCTCTCACGTTTACAGCTATAAGTTCATGGTTGGAGGCTGTTATCTTGACTAGATAGTGTGTGTGTGTAAGTGAGTGATTGAGTGTTTGTGTGAGTGAGTGAATGTGTGAGTGAGTGTGTGAGTGAGTGAGTGTGTCAGTGTTATCAAACCCTCCAGGGACAGCAATCCATTGATTTTCTGGACTATTTGTTAATCTCATCTCCGTGTCTGTGAACATCTGGGAGAAGGAATTCAGCTTAAATGCAGCCCTTTTCCTGAACCGCTTTCAAAATGTCCTGGAAGAGACTGGTGTCTTGATTCAGGGAAGGGGGGAGCGAAAGGAGGGGAGTGTGGGGGGGGAGTGGGGGTGTAGAGATGGGGGGGGCAACAGAAATTCCCCCCAAACCGTATTTTATTAATGTTTTCTGTATTAAATAAACCGTTTCGGGGGAAGAGCCACCGAGCGATATTGACAGACATTGTTAGGAGCTTTAGAGCTTAATTTATACCCCCCCAAAAAAATGGGGCGAACGCTCTGTAGTCTTTCTAACTCTCACATGAAGCACTTTGTTAGATGATTTTTATAGCTTAACGTTCCTAAAAGAATAAGGACCCTGTCTTGAGCCCCATAACCCCACTCAGTTGCTGCTGAACCCTTTGTGTTAACCCCCACCTCCTCCTCTGCCCCCCCGGGTTTAAATCCCGAACACACAGTCACTCCACTTCGCAGGGAATCAATCCCGTGAAGATGTTCCTCCCGGCGTGAAAGGCGTTGGGTCAAATGGAAGGAGTTTTGCGGAAATGTTTTTGCTTTGTTCCACATCGATGTTTAAAGCGGCCGTGTGATCGCCGCCTGTGCTGTGCCTACAGGCGGACGGACCATCCGGAGTAATTCACACTAACTGTTCCCGCTGTCCGGCTTCCAGTCAGTCAGTCCGACTGTTAACCCTTCGTCATCCAGTGTTTTCACTGCTCACTTGCCTTTACGCTGTGCTTTGCTGCGAGGTTTGTGCAGCTGTGTGGGGGGGGGGGGGGCTGTGTGTGTGTGGTGGGGGAGTGTGTGTAGGGTGGTCTGTGTGTGGGTGGGGGAGTGTATGTAGGGTGGTCTGTGTGTGTGTGTGGTGGAGTGTGTGTAGGGTGGTCTGTGTGTGTGTGTGTGTGTGTGGTGGAGTGTGTGTAGGGTGGTCTGTGTGTGTGTGTGTGTGTGTGTGTGTGTGGGGTGGAGTGTGTGTAGGGTGGTCTGTGTGTTTGTGTGGGTGGGGGAGTGTATGTGGGCTGTGTCTCTCTCTCGGGGAGTGAGACTGGCAGATGTGGCTGTGTTTGTTAGACACACACCGAGTTTCTGGGTGGGTGGGTGGGTGGGGCAGAGAGCGTGTGGGTGTGGGGGTCTGTGGAGATGTTTGCGTTGGGGTCGGTGGGTGGGGTGGGGGGGAGAGACCAGCAGAGAGCAGATGTTCTCTGTCTACCTGGTGTGCACATTCCACATTAACCCAGTTTAATATTAATGCTGCTGCTAACACAGTGTTTCTCCTTCCCATTGATCCCTCTCTCCCTCACTCCCTCTCCCTCACTCCCCAACACTCACCCTCTGTGATTTACTGGAAAAAGCTACAGGAGCCAAGATACTGAGTCTTTGCGCTCTCTCTCCCACTGTCACACAGTATTTTTAAAAGAAAAATAATACAAATAATTTGGCCACTCAACCCACGGCTATTTGTGGGGACGTCACTGGGGGCGCAATTGGCTGCCGCGTTTCGCCCACGAAAATACACAGTCACTTTACAGAGTATCCCGTAAAGTGCTTTGAGACGTCTTGGAAGACGTGGTAAGGGGCTGTGTCTCAATTGCAAGGATCATCATTATTATTAGGAATTTCTTTTGGGGGGAGGAACTGGGGGGGCGGAGGGTGTGTTGGCGGTGGGTGGGAGTCAACAGAAAAGCTTAAAAGATTTTGTGTGAATTAGTCGTTTCTTTAGGAATATTTAAATAATTGTGTAAATTATAATGTGAAATGATTAATAATTGCTTGAATTTCATCTCCTTTGTTCTCATTCATTCCTGAGTGTACAACGTGTCTCACTCCCGGGTGGGAAACACTAGCATAAGACTTTACACACCCTTAAGTGACCGGCTGGGTGATCATGCGATGATGGGGAGCAGGGAGGGTGGGTGGGGGGGAGGTGCGATATATCTGGGATCAAGGGACCAAAGTCTCTGTGCCCCACAAAAAAATACATAGTCACACCGCTTTACACTGTATCCCGTGAAGCGCTTTGAGACGTCTCGAAGACGGGATGAGGCGCGACATCAAATCCAAGGATTATTATGTGTAAATATACAATATCGACAGCGCCACAAGTTGAGGGAAAGCAATGAGTTAAGTCGGAGTGGGTTATCCAGAGGTTCCTGGGTTTGGCTGTGATGGAGAGGGCCTGAATCCAATTCTGCAACTTTTTAACCGCGCGATCTTTGTTCCTCGGACCTGAGGCCGGTGAAATTTTCCCCCTTAAAACGATTGCTCTTTATTCAGCCGTAACTTTTCTATATTGCCCGGACCATTTCCCGACTCTGTGTTTGTGACTTGTGGAGTGACGGGGTTGACCTCGGGAGCGTCAGTACATCTCGGTCGGTCTGTCTTTTCGAGAACCGGTTTCATTTTGGTCTGAGTAAAGAGATTTGGTTACAGCCTCCCTTCAAAATGCACAGTCACGGCACTTTACAGCACTTTCCATGAAGTGCTTTGAGACGTCCTGATGACGGGATAAGCCGCTGTATCAGATGTAAGGATTGTTTCGCCCGGGGCAGCGTCTCAGAGAGCAGGAGGACCACAAATAAACCAATTATATTTTTATTAGCGCCTTTCACATCACGAGAGCTTCCCAAGGTTGATGTAAAAGGCTCTTTACAGTGATGGAGCGCGGGGCTGATCCTGGGGGGAGGGGGGAGGTGGCCCCAGGCACGCTCGAAGGGGAAGGTCTTCAGATCTGATGGGGGGATGAGGCGAGGGATTGAGGCAGAGAGTTTACACCTGGGGGAAAAGTGGCTGAAAGCATAGCCACCAGTGCTGGAGTGGGGCAATAGGTTGGAGCCAACTGATGGAAGGAGCCAGGAGTGGGGGTGACTGGCACTGGGGGCAGATGGGGGAAGGGGGGGGGGAGACCAAATCAGGGGCTCTTCAAAAAGTCGGTCAGTAGCACTCTTGCCTTAGAAGGTTATGGTTCAAGTCTCACATCGGGACTTGGAGCTCACAATCTGGGCTGATGCTTCAGTGCAGCACTGGGGGGGGAGAGAGAGTGTGTGTCATATTGTGTAGCTCAGTGGTTAAAGCTGTTTGTGAGGACGTCGCTGGGGGCGCAATTGGCTGCTGTGATTCGCCCAGAAAACACAGTCACTACACTTTACACTTTACAGTGTTGCCCGTGAAGCACTTTGAGACGTCTCGAAGACATGATAAGGCGCTGTGTCAAACGCACGGATTATTATTGTCCCGGTCAACAATCGCCCGGAATACAATCACTGCCTTCACCTATAAAAATAAACAGTCACAGTCAACCTCACTTTACAGTGAATCCTATGATAAGGCGATCACCGTGACCAGCCGGGCGTCTGACACACACGGAAACCCGTCACCGTGACCAGCCGGGCGTCTGACACACACGGAAACCCGTCACCCTGACCGCCGGGCGTCTGACACACACGGAAACCCGTCACCCTGACCAGCCGGGCGTCTGACACACACGGAAACCCGTCACCCTGACCAGCCGGGCGTCTGACACACACGGAAACCCGTCACCGTGACCAGCCGGGCGTCTGACACACACGGAAACCCGTCACCCTGACCAGCCGGGCGTCTGACACACACGGAAACCCGTCACCCTGACCAGCCGGGCGTCTGACACACACGGAAACCCGTCACCGTGACCGGCCGGGCGTCTGACACACACGGAAACCCGTCACCCTGACCAGCCGGGGTCTGACACACACGGAAACCCGTCACCCTGACCAGCCGGGCGTCTGACACACACGGAAACCCGTCACCCTGACCAGCCGGGCGTCTGACACACACGGAAACCCGTCACCTGACCAGCCGGGCGTCTGACACACACGGAAACCCGTCACCCTGACCAGCCGGGCGTCTGACACACACGGAAACCCGTCACCCTGACCAGCCGGGCGTCTGACACACACGGAAACCCGTCACCCTGACCAGCCGGGCGTCTGACACACACGGAAACCCGTCACCGTGACCAGCCGGGCGTCTGACACACACGGAAACCCGTCACCCTGACCAGCCGGGCGTCTGACACACACGGAAACCCGTCACCTGACCAGCCGGGCGTCTGACACACACGGAAACCCGTCACCGTGACCAGCCGGGCGTCTGACACACACGGAAACCCGTCACCCTGACCAGCCGGGCGTCTGACACACACGGAAACCCGTCACCCTGACCAGCCGGGCGTCTGACACACACGGAAACCCGTCACCCTGACCAGCCGGGCGTCTGACACACACGGAAACCCGTCACCCTGACCAGCCGGGCGTCTGACACACACGGAAACCCGTCACCCTGACCAGCCGGGCGTCTGACACACACGGAAACCCGTCACCCTGACCAGCCGGGCGTCTGACACACACGGAAACCCGTCACCCTGACCAGCCGGGCGTCTGACACACACGGAAACCCGTCACCCTGACCAGCCGGGCGTCTGACACACACGGAAACCCGTCACCCTGACCAGCCGGGCGTCTGACACACACGGAAACCCGTCACCCTGACCAGCCGGGCGTCTGACACACACGGAAACCCGTCACCCTGACCAGCCGGGCGTCTGACACACACGGAAACCCGTCACCCTGACCAGCCGGGCGTCTGACACACACGGAAACCCGTCACCTGACCAGCCGGGCGTCTGACACACACGGAAACCCGTCACCCTGACCAGCCGGGC